TATCATTGGTATTAAAGAAATGGCAATTCCTAGACAGGGCACTTGCCCCCTCTTGCCCTCTCCTGAGAATGTCCATGCACACACTGTACGTAGAGTTGCCTAAATAACACCAAACCTCTAAATAATACATATAATTGAAGTTTTATGTAGTGTATTTAGCGTTCTATTATCTTGGCTGTTGGGATGTGTCACTGTTGTTTGTCCTACAAAGGTGTCTGTATAATGTAAGGTATGCATTTTAAGTTACTCTGTAGGGAGAAATGTTTTCTGCTAAGCTAAGAAGAATTTGTGCAAAAGGAACAGTAATGTGGTGCAAGTTAAAAGAAGTGTCAAGATGTCCTAGCAGTGGTCCTTGGTTTTTGTGGTCAGTGGATTCTCTGTTTTTATCAAACCATTCAAAAACAGTTTGACATTTAATTTGGAGTCAGAACCAAGGGCAACCTGACACCAAAATCACACCAGGAGTCTGCAGTGGTTATGACACCGAGAGTGTCCCTTTAATTTGGTTATACATGGGGATGGGGGAAAGGTGTTTATACAAACATTTATGATAGTGAAATAGCAGTATGGAATTCCTTTGATTTCAGTTTAGGATTGCAAAGAGCTATGTCTCAAATAATCAATTATAGATATTGGGTTAAACAAAAGATTTTAAGTGTTTTAAATTTGTTACAGAGAAAAACATAGAAAATAAATATTTAAAAACATTATCCTTTTTTTGTTATGAAAAGACCACAAATAGGCAAAGAATAAACTGGAGTATTTTTTTTTTATTGTCTGATGACAACATCTGCAGCTTGTTCTTTAGTTACTGACCATAATTATATTTCTCTGATTAGTGAGAACATGGCAAGGAAACCATAATGTAATGATGGAAAAAGGTCAAGAGTAATGTTTTAGAGACTTGCTGGCCAAGGTGTTTCTAAATTCTCAGAGGACGTTAACAAAAACAGAGAGCTGCGCACAAACTGGAGCATTTAAACTCAAGCTATTTTTTCATCAGTACATTTTATTTGTTTGAAAACAAAATCTAACATTGCAGCGATTACATAGCAATGTTATGACATTTAAAAAAATGTTATTGAAAGGTAACACAGCTTTCAGATTGAATGACAGACCTGCCATGATTTTTTGGACACATTATTACAATTAATCCTTATTCCTAATTAAAGGATTTCCTTTCTACAGCATATCAATGCTACATACTGCTTGGTGACACATTTCATGAATTGCTTCTCTCTTCTGAAAATGTTCTATATTCCCAAGAATCTGCCCATTCTAAATATAACACATAAACAAGACCATAAAGCAGTTGGAGCAATGAATCAGGTTTCCATATTCATGGTTTACGCAATCTTAGGATCGTTGTGAGAACCTCTCTGGATAGCTTTCTGTCCCCCAGCGACCTTTAATTACAGTTCATCATGTTGTCTGCATCAGCCTCTGCATTTTTGCCTTCAGCTTGTCAATTTTTTTACAAAGCAGTTTTTTTTTTTTTTTTCATTCTAAGGGAGAACATACATAATCCTGACTTGTTTTAAAACACAGAGCCATTTTCTTTTTTTTCATTGTGTATTCTTTGCTTTTTATTTAAGGGGCAGGGTTTTGTGCTACTCTTAATCTAGGCAAAAACCAAGCCCCTTCTCATACAGCCTAGGCTGTAAAAGCAAATGCTCCTTAAAAATATGAATGTATAGTATATGCATACAGTATCTATAATGTCCAAGGAAACCATGTTTAAAATAGAATAATGAAGCTAAAGTTGATTATTTGTTAAACTAATTTGCATATGCCCACCCAGAATCCATTGCAGTAGTAACATCACTCAGGGCCGGACTGGGGATTCCAAAGCAGCCCCGGAAAAAAAAATCTATGCCAGCCCCATAAGTCATTGCGCCATATATTGTCGCATGTAATATGTAAGGCTATGTCTTGCAACCCTAGATGATTGAGATATAGATAGATATATATATATATATATATATATATATATATATAACAAACGGATCTTGCACTCCACCAATTCAATATTCAATGCCCGGTGCTTGTCAGCCAAAAATGCAAAAAATATTGCCAGAGATAGCACTCCAAGGACTAATATAAAATATAACTTTTATTACCTCCACTAAAACAACACAAGGTCAACGTTTCAGCTTGATCCCCTCAAGCTTTCGTCAGGACATCTCCTGACGAAAGCTTGAGGGGATCACACTGAAACGTTGACCTTGTGTTGTTTTAGTGGAGGTAATAAAAGTTATATTTTATATTAGTCCTTGGAGTGCTATCTCTGGCAATATTATATATATCTTTTTCCAATATAAAATATTGGTCCTTTCAGAGTAAAATGTTTAATTATACAGTAAGCATACTCACATGCATACACAGACAATCTCACTGACAAGCTGATTGATACGCAGCCTCATACATAAGGTTATTGACATAAAAACACAAGCTCACTCAGTAGCAGACACACACACACAAACAAACAAACAAACAAACAAACAAACAAGCGCACACACACACAGCTTAATGTAGTGGTACTGGTGTCTATAGCCTGTCCCTGCAGGCTTTTCAATGTAAACACAGACTTTTAAGAGAAAAGGCAGTGTTTACATTGCTTCCTAGTGACAGACACTCAGACGGTGCTTCCTGTGTCAGTGCGGATTGGCTGAGATCATCAAACTTGATGATCTCAGCCGTAGAGACAGGGCCAGGCGAGGGGAGACCAGCATGACGTGGGGGAAAAAAAAAGGTGAGTAAAAACACACATACACACACACATACCATGACAGACACACACCATGACACAGACAGACCGTGACACAGACAAACACACACACACCATGACAGACAGACACACACCATGACAGACACACACCTTTAAAAAGACACACACACACACACCATAACACAGACAGACCGTGACAAACAGAAACACACACCACGACACAGAGACACACACCGTGACACACACATTACATGACACAGACAAACACACACCATGACACACAGACACACATTACATGACAGACACACACACACACCATGACATAGACACACATTGCATGACACAGACAGACGCACACACCATGACACAGAGACACACACAATGACACAGACAGACACACACACACACCATGACACAGAGACACAAACAATGACAGACACACATTGCTGACACAGACACTCACACACCATGACACACACACACATTGCTGACACAGACACTCACAGCATGACACAGACACACTCACACACCATGACACACACACACCATGACAGACAGACACACACACACACCATGACAGACAGACACACACACACACACACAAATGACACAGACAGACACATACACAATTTCTACCTGTAGGGAGCTCTTCTGGCAGCCACAGAGGGAGCTCCTTTGGCGGCCGCAGGGGGAGCTGGCTGTTCTTGCGGCCGCAGGGGGAGCTGGCTGTTCTTGCGGCCGCAGGGGGAGCTGGCTGTTGTGTCTCTGCTCCCCCTCCCCTGCGCGTCGCACAGTGAGACGGGAGCCGGAATATGACGTCATATTCCGGCTCCCAGCCTCACTGTGCGGCGCGCAGGGGAGGGGGAGCAGAGACACAACAGCCAGCTCCCCCTGCGGCCGCCAAAGGAGCTCCCTCTGCGGCCGCAGGTGAGCCAGCTGGCTGCCCGGCCCCAGGTGCCGACGGCCCACCGGGAAATTTCCCGGTATCCCGGTGGGCCAGTCCGGCCCTGACATCACTGCAAATTTGAGATTTCTGTGGGAAAAGCAAGTTATGGCTTGACTGGTGTGTGCAGACCGTGTTTAATAATGTATTGACTAGCCAATGACTTCAAGTGGAAGGGGTTATCAATCACCTTTTTCCCCACCATAACCTTATTGGTACGTGTCTACTGTATGTAAATTCATGTATGTGAAAGCATTGGCATATGGATTCATATATGAATGAATTTGTATGATATATATGTCTAGTGGCGTCTGTGATGGATGTATGAATGCATGCAATAAAGGTAAAGCAGCAATGTTAATTGTAGGGTCTTTGCATTTTTTGCAAAGGTTTAACAAGGTGTCATGTTTGCTTGCGTGGAGGTAGCCATTGGGTTAGAACAAGGGTAGGCATCTTTCAGCACTTACCACTACACGTTGTGGACCACATCACCCATAATGCTCTTACAACCATAAATCTGGCAGAACGTTAGGTAAATGTAGTCAACAACATCTGTAGTGCTGAAGGAAGATTTCCTACCCCTGGGGTTGAAGATAGGGAGATATTTAGCTACCCCTCCTTGTTACCATTTTCTTTTTGCCTTCATACTGTTTTGGCTCCTGATAACTTTTTTTACCAGGAGCCGTCATCACTATTCTATGCTCAAGCGCAAGAGTAAAAAAATCCAAAGCTAATCTCAAACATGCATCATAAAAGGCCATAGATAAGATAATGACTGTTTCATAGTATTATAGTCTATCTTTATAAATAGCTCAAAAGTGACAAAGCCACTTCAAATATAGACTCAAGTCCATGCCTGCCAACTTTAGCAGAACTCAATATCAAATCAGGGATATGGTGGTGAGGGAGGAGCCACTGGGTGTGTCTGTGATGCAATAAATTCCATGGATGATGTGCTAACCCACAAATTAGGAGCTTATTCACCTGAGTGACAAGCTGTCTGGCAGGTAGTTATACCAAACACTGCTGTAGAGATCATGTTTGGGCTTAAAATATCTTTAATGAAACTCTAAGGGCACCGTGAGTGTTGTTAAACAGATGTTCCCTCAGTCTTCCCATCATCGAGTCACAGTGCTGGACTGTGAGGTAATTGGGATCACCAAGGTAAAATTATGTGGCACACGTGGAGTCTGTGGGAGAAAAATAGTTAAAGGGCTGCACACATTTAAAGTTTTAATTAAATATTCCCAAGGTGCTTCACAGGACCACTAAAGGCACCCACGTCAGTTTTGTAGAAACTTCAATGTTTCCATTGCAGGGTTAAACACACCTTTAGTGACTGCCTTCCTGACAGCCGTTAGAAGTGTTTCACTGTGAAAACCACATCAGCTCCTATAGTAGCATTTGATTGACATTGCACGGCCCTTTGCAGCGCATGAGCACTATCCTTCCAATTCTTTTTGACATCTTAACGATCTCAGTCAGGGAGGTGGAGCTGCAGAGGCGAGACCAGGTAACGGTAAAATAATCTCACTTTTCAAATATAGCAGTAGGAATACATGTTTGCATACCTAACACTATAGTGTCCCTTAAGCAGAGAAAGGTCCGGGCACTCAGAGGTCATTCTAAGCGATGGCTTAATAGAGACTCAATTTCACACTGTGAGTGTTGCGTTTTGTTTCCAATAAAGTTTGCTTGCTAATGACCCTAGAGTTCCTAGACTACCTCTGTTTACTACACGGAGAGACTGTGTAACACGGCAGGCCTGCAAGTCCACCAGGTTTAACCTTTCACACATGTCTGCTTCTCCTGTGACGCATATTCACGTGCATTACGAATTACCCACACACATTACATATATACACACAGCACTGTGATGGAAACATAGAGGAAAACAGGAGACTAACACAAGAAGTACCTGCCCAAAATAGAGAGACAAAATAATATACAAGCTTAAAATAAAACAAACAGCAACATGTACAATGCTGCCCTGCGTTTAAATATCCCATATCTTATTAGGAGACTGACCTTATTTCAAAGTAATAAAAATGTTCTTTCCGTTGAGTTTATTTCTCAGACAAATTGCTTTAATTATGATTTTCTTCTGAGATTTTTGCGCAGCACTGAAATGCTAATAATGATGAAATTTTTCTGACAGTGCGAAGGGTTAAAGCTTAAAACAAGTCAGGAATATGGCAGGACTTGCCCAATAACAAACAGAGGGTGGGACATAATGTGGAGAGGACAGCATGTGTGTGTATGTGCTTTGCGATCTATGGGGCTGTGTGAACACTTGCATTTGAAGGCTGTATAGGGGGCTCTGACATTCACCGTATTTTATATTATTTTTCCATTTTATATTTAATGAGAAGGATGGGTACAGCTGTGTGAACAGGAAAAGCGTAGAATTTCTTCAACAAAATTTTAAAATAAAAAGGGGCACATCTGTGTCTGAAGAATGGAAACTGTCTATGAATTCCAGTTTGAAAATGACACAGACTACCATGGGCTACTTTGTGACATCACAGATAATGGGACCTTCACATGTATGGAGGAATATCGTCTAAATACCACTCTTCCAACCCGAGGTATCATTATGTGTGTTTGTCAATTTTCCTTTTTTTTTTTTTTTGTCATGTGCAATATTTAAAAGATTTGTAGTTGGTGCAAACCCTTATGGGTTAATATTTTAGAAAAGTGATAAAAGTGATCGCTAACTATTGCACCTATTCCTGAACTGCAAATCTCAAAATGCTCAGCCAATCCTTTCTGGAAAATTACATCACAAACATCTGGAGTGCTAATAAGAGTAATCATTACTGTTTTAGAACTTGCAGAAAATACATTGTGAAATACAAGAAAACGAATAGTCTCTCTTATGTGTTATATAGTTTGTTACGTAATGTTTTTACATAATGTTTGGCAAATAGAATTAGAGTTAAATCATTCTATTGGATAAATACAATATTTTTTTTTTTTTTAATTATTATTATTAAAAAAAATGTGAGACTATTTCAGCAATAAACATAATGGTCTCTCTGAATAGTATAATCCGTACTGAAATGATTTATTTAATCCGTGATTATATGTTAAATTATTTATGGGAATGTTTTTTTTTATTGCACTCTAGAAATGCACCAGACAGTGAGGATCCTGCTGTATTCACTGATATTTCTGCTAAGTGTGCTGGGGAACAGCCTGGTTATAGTTGTGCTGATAAGAAACAAGAGAATGCGGACTGTCACCAATATCTTCCTGTTGTCGCTCGCAGTCAGTGACCTCATGCTCTGCCTGTTCTGTATGCCTTTCACCCTCATCCCCAACCTGCTCAAAGACTTTATATTTGGCAGCACAGTCTGCAAAGCTGCAACTTATTTTATGGGTAAGTAAACGAGCTGCACGATCACAAGAATTTATTCACTAGACCAGGCATAGGAAACCTTCGGCACCGCAGATGTTTTGGACTACACCTCCCATGATGCTTTGCCAGCATTGTGGGTGTAAGAGCATTATGGAGGATGTAGTCCACAACATCTGGAGTGCCAAAAGTTGCCTACCCCTGCACTAGACATTGGATTGCGGTGAACTGAAAACTGAATTTCAAGTCTGAAATAGATGATTTGGGGAAAGTGTTTTAGATCCTCTATGGTAGGGGTGCCTAAAAGATAGGTCCCCAGATGTTGTAGAACTACAGCTTCCCTGATGCTTTGGCATTGTAAAGCATTCTAATGGCATGCAGAGCATCATGGGAGTTGTGGTTTTATAAACTACCTTTTGGGCACCCCTGATCTATAGCCACAGTATGGATGTTACCGCCTGAAATGTGCAATTTTAAATCACAACAAAATTTATGTTTAGTAGATTTAGCAAGTTTTATAAATAACCCAAGTAATAATTCACAGGTAAACTAACTGTTATTAGGTATTTCAGAGCGTTCTACGTTTGTTATAATAAGGTATAATAGATTAAAACATATGTGTCTGCCAGAAAATGTGTGTGTCTATCTTAATTGTATTGCTTAGCTAAGATTAGTGGGAGTTACCCTTCGGTTCACCCTCTTTTTTATTTCCAGCTACTAACAGTAGTTGTGCCCCTCTTTCAATGTATGTCTGTCTTGGTGTTGCATTAAGATCAAGATCCCCTATACCTTAATTTTACAAAAAAACTCATGCGGTTTAAGAAATCCATGTCATTGAAGAGTATATTATGGAAATATAATGTTTTCAAGGGGAGACGCTAATTAACCACTTAACCTTTGGTCTCCTGGTTTATAATAGCATTATTTTCCTATAATATATGCCCCCTTACATATACTCTATGTATGTTTTAGTGCAAATTTTGTAGCATTGGGCATGTAGATTTATGAGCCAAATCACCATACAGTTATCGGTATTGTGTGAACATTTCACACATTTAATAGATGTGAATTTTAATGTCTATATAATTGCATATATTTTATATAAACTTAGTTTCAGTTACTTTCCCACAAAAGGAAGTGTGTATGTATTTATGGTGTCCCAAATAAGAGACAATGGAGGGAGTTTAATTATTTAATATTAAGATATATATCTATATCTCTTAATATTAAATAATTAAACTCCCTCCATTGTATATATATATATATATTATATGTGTGTATATATATATATTTCACAAGCATAGATGTAATGCAAACAGAGCATTTCCCCCCTTGGAAAAAAAAACAACATTTTATATATTTAGGAAACAAAAAAATAATTATTGTTTGTTAATAATATTATCAAAGAAATACACTGAGGAATTCAAATATAGAATGTTGGGAGCAAAATCTGTTGATGCACTCAGCAGTGTGCTTTACTTTAAAAATTGAAATACATAGAGTAGAAAACTGACACCACAAACAATATTAATTTGTGAATAATACATTAATATTTATCTCCTGATAAATGTGTGCTTAACAAAATGCTGTCTATACAGTTACTGATAAAACAAGAATCAGAGATCATGCTAGTAAACAAATGAGAGGAGGTAATTAAGTTAAGTGGCCTTTATTGCAATTTTGTTTCTGTAGAGACACGTATTCTTGCAATGTACACAATATAACAATACATGCTTTCTTCTTATAAACAGCAAACCCAAAAATACATTGAGACTGTTTGATACATGTCCCAATATTGCTTTATTTTATTTACCAGCATTTACTGTTTAGTGAACAATAATTAATCATAGATTAAACGGTTTACTCATTAAAACAAGGTTGTGTAGAGAAATCACAAAAGAAATGCATGTTTTAGGTAACACGTTGAAAAATAGCTAGGTTCCACCTTTATGGCTAAAAATGTGTGAATCCTTTGTCAGTGATCCACCGAATAAGCTTCGAAGTCTGTAGATTGAACCTTTTAAATCTTGTTTTGCCATTAAGAAAGATCACACTTTCATATCAATATAAAGAGTAAAGGATTGTAATACTCATTACTTAAGATGAGCAAATTGAAAAACATTTAAGTAACCGAACTGATGTTTTTGCCTCGGTGAAGTGAGCAACATTTACACATGCCGTATGGGATTTCTGACAAATGTTTTGCTTAGAGCTTTATCTACAGGATATTTTACATTGCGAGGCTAGCTTGTGGGCATTATAGTAACCTGCTTAAAGGGAAACTGTTACTTCTCTGGAATTGACACCATTGAATAAAACATCAAAAATCACCTAGAACTTGTGTAAACCCCTATTCGTGAGACAAACAATGATCTATTAATTATATATATCGCCATAACTCCTTAATCACTAAAATGAGCTGCAGTGGTTATGGTGCTAGGAGTGACCAGGAAGCCACTGGAAGCACTCTTACCTCAAGGGGCTAAACCGTTCTTGAACAGTTTAACCCCAAACTTGCCTCCAGCGCCGTTCTCCCACCACCCCGGCAGCTTCCGGCTTCTGAATGTTCAGATTCAGAAAGCACGGAGTGCCGCCACTGACTGGCTGACAGTGGTCAACTGACACTCTAAGCCAATCAGTGACTCCCCATTCACTAAACTGGCCTACAAAGAAACATACATTTTGCAAGACAGTTTAGTGAATAGGGATTAACTGATTGGCTAAGAGCATCAGCTGACTAGTCTCAGCCAATCAGCAGCGCCCCTGCCCAGTGGCACTCTGCGTTTCCTGAAAATTCGGAAGCCGACAGAGGGTGAGTGGAGACTGGTGCTGGAGGCAACCGTTCAAGAACGGTTTAACCTCTTGAGGTAAGGGTGCTTCAAGGGGCCTCCTGGTACCATAACAACCTCATTTAGATGAAGCTGTTTTGGTGCCTGGAGTGTTCCTTTAATGAGACCAGAGGAATGACAGAGGAAAGTGATTGCTAGAATAATTCAAATGGTATACCTTAGTTTATATAAAAATGTATATATATTATGTTGAATATTTGTGCAAAATACCCCAATCCCTCTACAGATAAACCTCCCTATCTCTAATCAGGAGCATCTCATTCAGGTATATGAGGTCTTTTCTTATCCTAATAAGTACAGTCCAACTATGATTTAAGGGACAAGTAGTTTGTTCCCAAGTGAAGTTTAATTTATCACATAGGACGAGTGGAACTGCTTAAACTGTAAACTGAAAGCAAATATAAAGTCCCTGCCATCTCTGCCATCACTTTTTACATCAGGCAGCTAAAACTCGCTGATTGACAGCTCTGAGGGGTTGGCTTAGTACAGCTGCAATTTCTGCAATTTACTTTATTTGTAAGACACTCTCAGAGATATGAGTTGGTGCATGATAGTGTGTGCAAAGTTGTAATGTGCTTAAGCTGACACTTTACATAATATTTGAGAACACAATAGTATCAGGTACTCAAACAGGTATTCCTCACATTGTAATGGTAAATTCCTAGGCCCCCTCTCCTTGCAGTAAACAGATTAGTTTACTGTGCAGAACTAACACAGGAAGCACTTCTAGTGGCTGTCTGAGTGACTGCCACTAGAGGTGTTACTAGACAGCAATGTAAACACCGCCTATTCTCTAGACACCAGAACCACTATATTAAAGGGACACTCGAGTGCCAGGAAAACAATCAGTTTACCTGGCACTGCAGGACCCCTCTCCCTCCCACCCCCCGTACCCGGTTGCTGAAGGGGTGGTTTCATCTTGCCGCAGCTCCTCCTCTTCCTTACATCAGCTGTTGGGCTAGACTGATCCCGCCCGCCGAATGAGGAGACCTAATGCTTTTTTTATGGGGAATTGAGCGACGGTGGAGGTCCTCACACAGCGTGAGGACGTCACAACGCTCTAGCACAAAAATCTGTGCCATAGAGCAGGAAGTGCCCTCTAGTAGACAGCCACTAGGGGAGGATTTAACCCTGCATGGTAATTATTGCATTTTATAAAAAACTGCAATAATTACACTTGCAGGGTTAAGGGTAGTGGGAGTTGGCACCCAGACCACTCCAATGAGCAGAAGTGGTCAGTGTCCCTTTAAGCTGTAGTGGTTCTGGTGACTATAGTGTCCCTTTAAATAAAAAAATATTTTGAAAAGCGATTTGCATGAAGGACATTTATTGTAACAAGGATTACCATGGAAAGAGATCAAAATCTATACACTGATTTCTCCAGTTTTGGCTAAGACACAGATATGTTGTGGGCTCTTTCTGTAATGGCTCTGGCCACATCTAGATCTAAGAATCTTTCCACCACTTTCATAGGCAGACATGTCTCCTTCGGGCTCAGAATTTATAAATTCCTTTTATTTAAAGATATTTTTAGGGATTGGGGAATAAAGGTATAAATGTTAACAAGCATACTCTAAGCCGAAACTAGTGGATAAAATATGAAAACCTATAACTCTGTGATAAATATTTCTCCTAAGTTTTGGTGGAATCCCCCCATCCTGATGTAGTTCCTTCCGACATCAGGGATCTGTCCCCAGGGAGTACAGTGTTAGTGCATCATTAGATGGGCCCGCATGTTGTGGCAGGCACTTGGACCATGTCAGTGAGCACTTCAGCATGGTCCTGTAGGTTGTGGGCCGGCTGGAAAGCTGTTTGTCAGTCTGTCATGCATTAAACCAGGTAAAGTAAAAAAAAAGGAATTTGTGACACACCCAGAACATGAATTTCCCAGGAATGGTGCTGCCACCGAGATCAAAATGTATACATAATACAGATTAAGGGACACACACACATAAAATTACAGTTTTAAATTATATAAGGCTACTAAAAAATCACCTATCTCCGCAAACAAATATGGGAATTCAGTTCCACCATACGGCCATATTGTGTTAAGCCATCCCCTACTGAGGTGCTTGATACCAGACTGACACATAGCTTCAGTAACCCATTTTCCAGCAGATCTTCCCACTTGTAAGGTAGACGCCCATTATGGGCAGCACCAGTGATATTAGTTGCATCACTGGTGATGCCCCAAAGGCCTGCCCACCTGAACAGATTCCGTAGCCGCCAATGTTGGGAGGAATGTACAGTTCATTCAAAAAGTATTGTTTTTAAAAACATTTTGCAATTTTATGATACATTTGTAAAAAAAATAAATAAAAAATACATAAATCTACACTAAATACTCTATTGACAAAATACCACTAAAAATAAAGAAAGCAGAAAAAAATTAAATATAACATTGACTTAAGTATTCAGAACTTTGTAGGAACACTATAGTGTCAGGAATACCAACATGTATTCCTGACACTATAGTGTTTAACTAACTATTGAGGTTACTGGAGCCCCTCCAATCGCATGGAAAATACTGCTCTGTGCCAATCAGCATCTCCTCATAGAGATGCATTAAGTCCATGCATCTCTTTGTTGAGTGTTCAGCATTCAACTTTCAGCATTTACAGTGCACAGCATACAGGGACAGGCAACAGACACCAGAACCACTATATTAAACTGAATTGGTTCTGGTGACTATAGTGCCTCTTTCAGTCATCTGGATCATGGATGGGGACTGTCAGTAGATATTTACAGGTCATTGCAGAAATGATCGATTGGATTCAAGTCCAGGCTCTGACTTGGCTCCTTACAAATATTCAAAGCGGTTTCACTCAGTCAATCTTAAACTATCCTGGCTGTTGGAAGTTGAGCTTTAGGCCCAGTCTGAGGTCATGGGCTCTCTGGACCAGACTTTCATAAAATATTTCTGCATTTTGCTGCATTCATCTTTCCTTCAACCCTGTCAAGTCTTCCAATTCATGCCACTGAAAAACTCCCCCAAGGCATTATGTCACAACCAAATGATGAAGGGTGCCTTCTTTCCTCCACACTTTGAATTGAGGCTTCACAGTTCACTCTTTGATCTATTAGTCCATAGAATCTTGTTTCTCACAGTCTGAAAGTCCTTTAGGTGATTTTTTGCAAATTCCAAGTGGGCTTCTTTCATATGTCTGCAGTAATGAGAGGTTTCTGTCTGGCCACTATGCCATAAAGGCCAGATCGGTGGATTATGGTAGTGATAGCTGTCCTTCCCAACATTTCTCCTTTCTTTATACATGATCTCTGGAGTTCACCGAGAGTGACCATTGGTTTTTAGTTTTCTCTCTTACCAAAGCCTTTCTCCCCCGATTGCCCAGTTTGGTTAGAATGTCAGTTCTAGGAAGAGTCCTGGTTGTTGCAAACATCTTCCATTTAAGAATTAAAAAGGCCAGTGTGCACTTGGGAATCTTCAATACAGCCAAATCTTTTACTAGACTTCCCCAGATCTGTGCTGAGATAGTGACAATAATGTCCCAGAACTTTACAGGCATTTGACCTCGTGGCTTGGTTTAAATTCTGATATGCATTTACAGCTGTAAGACCTTATAGGGACAGGTGTGTGCCTTTCCAAACCTTGGAAAATAACTTGAATTTGCCACAGCTGGACTACATTTCAAAGATGATCTAGAGAAATGGGATGCATTTGACTTATATTTTCAAGTTTCATGGCAAAGTGTTTGAATACTTTGAATGCTTACATCAATGTGATATTTCCGCTTTTTCTTTTTAATAAATTTTCTAAGTCTTAAAAATTCTGGTTCTTGTTTTGTCATTAATGGGTATTGAGTGTTGATTAACGTGTAAAAATAAATGAACGATTGTTGCTACAAAAAATAAAAGGGGTGTAAAGTTCTGAATGCAGTGTATATAGAATATTCTTCTGGCATAAGTTATTTATATATATATATATATATATATACAAACTATAAGGCTATTGTGGTCATAAAATTGGCTTAAGACCAGCAGTTGAGTGAACCACTTTCCCATCAAGACACATTTAATTCGAAAGATAAAACATTTTTCATATGATATCCCTTATCTCGCAATGTTTCAGAGATTTCCTAAAAGATTATAATGTAAAAAGAAATACAATTTTGTCAGATACAGACAAAATAAATCTTAAAATAGCCCACTTATGTATATTTGTAGAATCATTTATTTCTGGGAACAGAGCTTCTTAAAATTTATTCCAGATTTTAAAATAATGCATGTATCGGTGTATAAAGTACACTAAACTTGAGTACTGTGCAACCATTGAAGTCTTCTATTATATTTTGCATGAATCCCTTATACTCACTGTGCTCCTTGTCCTTACCCTTTTCACAAGTTGCCAGAATACAGCCTTAACATTTGACCTACAAAGGTTTCTGTAGCAAGTAATGGAAAGGTGTGGAGAGATGCAAAGGATTATAATGTAGACTCCTGGCAGAGAAATGTGTTTATCTATAGGGGGAAAACATTACAGAATAAATTGGACTTTAAGTGGGGCTTAGGGACAAAATGTATTTTCACATTACTTTGCAATGGAAAATTAAAGATAAATAGGTATACATACTTGGAAGGTAGGGGTTAAAATTTATGTGGAGAAGAGCCATGGCCAACCTGAATAACCCAAGCTTTTCTTCCATCAGATTCTATACGTTTAATTATTCCCAAATAATGTGTCAGATCAAATGTGATACAAACTCATTATACAAAAAAAACACACATTTTTTTGTATGTACCCCATAGATATGTTGCATGCACCGAAAGAGCATTGTTCTTTTACAATCTAACCACAGCCTATTTATTGTAAAAACCATCCACATATTCCCCATGCAACTCCGCTAGTAATGAACATGCTGAATTATATATATCAGAAGTACACTTAAAAGTACTAGCACACAGCCAATTAATTAGTTTACTGTTTTGTCTGTTGGCTTTGCTATAATCAAAGCCTATGAATAATTATAAAGAGAACTACGGGAAAGGTGGAGGCCTGAGAGACTTTTCACGAGAGAGAGAGAGAGATAATTGGAGAAAGTAAACAGGGGTGTAAAGGGGAGAGAGACATAATTAGAATTGCCAATTTATAGTTTAGTGTGTTTGAAATTACCAGACTATGTATTTATTGTCGTCTTTATATCTTGTGCATCACCATAAATAATCACATTTAATCTAATAACATTACATAACTAAAAAACAAAACCGAAAAAACATTAGCCACAAAGGAATATACTGAGAAAATGTATTCCAATGGCAAAGTAGTATTTATTTTAAAAAAAACAAAAAAAACCCACAAACAACAAAACACTTCACTTATATATACACGTAATATATTATGTATAGCCACCCGAAGAATAATGAAGGCAGAAAGTAATTTGTTATATACTAATTGCCATTAAAATTATTATTTTCTTGGTATGTTTTACGTTTTGGAATTAGAGTTGGCTTTATGTTTGTGTATGATAAGTAAGCATATGGTTTTATTTGTATGGAAAATTGTGTGTGTTTTGAGAGTTTACGTTTCACTCCATTAATGGACAATCTGCCGTAGTTTCTATCCGGTGAATCTTCACACATCTTTCCATTACATCAAACTCAAATAGATGGCGTTTATTAACCAGAGCGCTTTTATCAGTAAACACACTTTGCATTAATTTTCAAAGGTGGTTAGAGGAACTCTGACCTGCATAATATAAGTCCTACTTTAATCTTCTAATAATTTAATCTATAACTGGCAGCAAATATATAAACGACTGGCTATTTAAAAATAGACGTATTAACCCTTCTGCTTTTAGCTCTTGCTACCCAGTTAGCCTCACAAATATTCTTCTTGCATTTCATCCTGATGCTAAGCTAATCGGTCCAGAGCCCAAAAGCAGGAAGGTGTTATTGCAACGGATGCTGGATAAGGGGAAAGCATTTACAGATATGCTATGCTATGAATTGCGTGATCATACCCATATGTAGATGCAGCAATAAATGCTGCTTCTTTATATTCGGTCATCTGCATATCTTTTGGCCATGTGGATTTTTTTTTCATCTTACTGACAACCAAAATTTGAGTTTTCCTATGCATGTACATCTTAGACAGTTAATTAGGAATAGTACTTTTAACTTTCTTGTAGTCGCATGAAATGCCATGGCATTTTTACGAATTGATTTACCGAAATGAATTATTGAATCATTTTGTCTTGAGAATCTACTGAAAAAAGCACTTAGTTTTGAATGTATCAATGAGTTGCATGAGAGCTATAATCTAAAAGGAATCAATTCTCACCCGAGGAAAAAAAAAAAAAAGGAAATATTAAAAGGCTTAAGCTAGATAATATAATTATATGGGCTCCTTTTACTGCATGTAGTTGCACAGCCCTCCATATATATGAATATTAGTGATATAATGAGAAATATATTCCTCTTTGTCTAGCAAACCGAGCACAAGACAGTTTTTACATTATTGTGATCACATTACCAGTAAAATGAAGTATAAACTATCAGATCAATGAAATCAATTAACTCTGTGTTTGGACAACACTTTAGAAGAGCCGTTATCAAAGAATAGATGTTTTATTTCTGACGTGATAATTAACATCGAGAGTGCCTCTAGCAGAGAAGGATTAAGATCCTACAGGGCCCTAGGCAAGTTATCGGTTTGACCCATTCGTTCTTCAAATAGGAATGGTAAACAAGGCCAGGAAAATGTATAATTTCAGGATCCCTAATCACCGTAATCAATCTAGATATGTTGATTTCCACAATGTAATTTATACCAATTTGGTTTCTCTTATGTTATTAGAAATAGACCTCCTTGTGCTTTTAGATGGCCGCCATCTTTATTTACAATAACAATAAGGCTATATAGTGTTAATGCAACATTTATATGTGAAGTTTCATTTTTTTTGCTTTTGTTTTGTTTTCACCCGCACAGGTATATCGGTAAGTGTGTCAACATTTAATCTGGTGGCCATATCTCTGGAAAGATACAGTGCTATTTGTAAGCCTTTGCAGTCACGAGTATGGCAGACCAAATCACACGCACTGAAGGTAATTGCCGCAACGTGGTGCCTTTCTTTCACAATCATGTCACCCTACCCAATATATAGCACTTTGGTGCAGTTTCCAAAATCCCAAAATGCAACGGGCAACATGTGTCGTCTTCAGTGGCCTAGCGACCTCACTCAACAGTCTTGGTAAGAAATGTTTTATTATTTCCAAAGCCTGTCCTAACAATGATAATGACTAACTATAAGTGGGAGCTACTTTCCCTTTTTTTGCTGCTTTTCACATCTTAAAGGAACACCCAAACACCATAACCACTGACTGCAGTGGTTTTGGTACCGTGAGTAAGTCCCATGGTAAGTAAGCAAATTGGTCACCTCCTCCAGTAGAGTAGAAAGCTCTCTACATTGTGCTAGACCTGCAGACTCTCCTGGAGGCTGTGACTAGTACCTAGAGGACACCAGGTAAGTTGTCAAACTACTCTCAAATGATTTAATTACTTACCCCGGGAGAATGTCAGTGCACACTTGGCACCATAACAACTACAATGTACCTGTAAATGTTCACTTGTTTTGAAAATTGTGTGTGTAAATTTCAAATTGACTGACTGACTTAGGGGGGAAATTATATTTGCCTTCAGTGGTATAGAAATATATTTTTCCAATACAACTCAGCAAGTATAAGAGTAAGAAAAACTCAGTCTCAAAAATTTGACAAAAGTCTCACTGTGTCTCAGTATGATATGCACGAAATGGACTATAACAGTGATTGCTAACTTTTGTTGCTTTAGCCGTTGTTTAGTAAGGTTTGCATGAGTCAGCTGTTCAACTTGCTAAGCATCATGGGAGACATGGCTTACAATGGCTGGTTGAGATGGTTGGGATGCCATCAGTGCATCTCTATGAGGAAAATTCAGCGTCTCCATGCAGAGCGTGGGGACGCTGAACATCATGGCTGCTTACTGTGCAGCCCTGAGCCAGGAAGCCCCTCCAGTGGCCATCTGAGGAGTTGCCACTTGGAGGCGTCTCTAGGGGCAATGTAAACACTGGCTTTTCTCTGAAAAGCATTAAGCTGTAGTTGTTTTGGTGACTATAGTGTCCCTTTAAGGGTGAGCCTGCATGTCACATGTACATATTGATGTATAAGCTGATCTCTGTCCATATTTCACCCATATTTGTTTTTAATAATGTGATAGTTAATAACTGAACAATACTCCTATATATTATCAAATTGGTTATCATGGCCTTTAATGTATAACTCAGACTGTAGTTACAGTACACACGTTATCCTATACAGTGCAATATCCCGCTGTTTGCCTTACTGTATTTAATTAATTAAAAGAACTTCAAAGAGGGAATGCTGGTTAACCAAGGTTATGTCTCCCACTCATTTGTCATCACTGGTTATTATTTTCCTGTCTGTCTTTGAATAATACTGAACGCCCTCTGTTTTATTTGATCATATGGTTTCAGTAATCATACATCCATCTTTTTTTCTGTAGTAGTTACATTTAACATGTTTCTGGTTTGCAATTATTTTTATTATGTTGTTGCCTCAGTGCTCATTACGTTTTTAACATTACATAACAATCATAATAAATGTGTCTATTCCCCTCAAATGTACATTGTGTTTTAATGGTTCGTTTAAAAATAATGACCATGTTTATTGACTTCATTTTGACCACAGAAAGCTGATAGTAATTACTTTAAGTCCCCGGATTTAAAGTGGCCCCCACCGGCTCTTGTCATTAATATTACTGGTTTTATTTGTTCTGCTGGTTACAATACTGTTGCTTAGCAAAGTGTTCAGTGTATCTGTGATTGTCACAATGAACCATTTAAGTGCCAAGGCAGCTTTAAATCTGTACACGTTAGAGACCATGTCACTTTAAATCATTATCTGTTACGTCAAATCATATATCACTATGGACAGGGTTCTATTCATGTGAAATCTGTATGTTGGTAATTGTAGGACAAGTTTTTTTTGTTATTAAAAACACAGGTCCAAACTGACATAGGGGCTGCTGGAACCGCAGCTCCAGATCGAGTCCTTGTAAAAGGCCCAAGATGAAATGAAAGGAATGCAACATTGTCATTAAAACCCACACACTTTCACCTACCAGGGAATCCCTGTGCTGAGATTGCTAAAATAGGAACATCCTTTGGAGATCAACAGACTGTACACATTTCTTTTACCCTTCCAGCACTACTTCCCAAGGGACAGCGATGGCTTAGCATTGACACTGCTTTTGCGAACTACACTTTCTTATGATCTTAAAGCAGCTAAAGGTTGTCTTGGCCTAAACACTATGGTAAATGCATCTCCTAGTAGTAGTGATTATTATTATTATTATTATTATTATTTTATTATATATATAGCGCCAACAAATTCCGTAACGCTGTACAATGGGTGGACTAACAGACACATAATTGAGATCAGACCACTGACGTACAGGAACAGAGGGGGTTGAGGACCCTGCTCGATGAGCTTACGTGCTAGAGGGGGTGGGGTATAGTGACACAAAGGGTTAAAGTAGGGGAATTAAATAGTTTGTTACAGAAGGGTTTATTGAGTGCTTGGTAGGTCATTTTTGACAGGTGCAGGAACGGAGTCGTGGGGGATGAGAAACCTGCTGACTGTTTAATTGATACGCTTTAATGAAGTGAGTTTTCAAAGATTTTTTGAAGGAGTGGAGGCTGGGTGAAAGTCTGAGGAGGGAAGGGAGTTCCACAGAATAGGTGCAGCCCTGGAGAAGTCTTGAAGGCGAGCATCAGAGGTGGGGATCCGGGCAGAGGATAGGCGTAGGTCTTGGGCTGAGCGCAGGGGTCTCGACGGGACATACTTGTGTATGAGGGAGGATAGGTATGTTGGAGCAGCATTATGTAGGGATTTGTAAGCAAGCGCCAGAATTTTGAATTGGGCCCTATGTCTAACTGGAAGCCAATGCAGGGACTGACAGAGCGTGGAAGCATGGGAGGTGCGACCGGACAGGAAAATAAGCCTTGCAGCCGCATTCATTATAGATTGCAGCGGTGCAAGCTGGGAACATGTAAGACCAGTGAGAAGGGGATTGCAATAGTCAAGACGAGAGAGAACAACAGCATGAACCAGTACCTTAGATATGGGCGGATGCGCGCTATGTTCTTGAGTTGGAAGCGACAGGATTTGGCTATCGATTGAACATGGGGAGTAAAAGAGAGATCAGAATTAAAAAGAACCCCTAGGCAGCGAACCTGGGAGGTAGAGGTGATAGTAGCGCCGTTGACTTGGATGGAGACAGACACAGGAGTAGCAGCACTTGAGGGAGGAAAAACTAGAAGTTCTGTTTTGGACAGGTTGAGTTTAAGGAAGCGAGCAGCCATCCAGTTGGAAATAGCAGAGAGGCAGTCAGAAACACGAGTCAAGGTGGGTGGAGAGAGATCAGGGGAGGACAGGTAGATTTGCGTTTCATCTGCACATAAATGGTATTGGACGCCAAAGGAGCTGATGAGTTTACCATGGGAGGCAGTATAGATAGAGAACAGTAGGGGGCCAAGGACAGAACCTTGGGGGACGCTGACAGGGAGGGGTTGGGGAGAAGAGGCAGAGCCAGAGAAAGAAACACTGAAAGAGCGCTGGGAGAGGTAGGAGGAGCACCAGGAGAGAGCAGTATCCCATAGACCAAAGTTACGGAGAATGTGAAGAAGCTGTTGATGATCAACAGTGTCAAAGGCGGCAGAAAGATCAAGGTGGATTAGGATAGAGTATTGGCCGCGAGATTTAGCAGCAATTAAATCGTTGGATACTTTGGTCAGAGCAGTTTCGACAGAGTGACCAGCGCGGAATCCAGACTGAAGGGGGTCAAGCAGAGAGTTGGATTCGAGAAAGTCTGTCAATCTGGCGTAGACAACTCTCTCGAGGATCTTGGAGGCAAATGGCAGTAGCGAGATAGGGCGGTAGTTGGATGGGGAGTTGGGATCAAGGTTGGGTTTTTTCAGAATTGGGGTTACGGTTGCATGTTTGAAGGCAGAGGGAAATGTGCCAGAGGAAAGGGAGAGATTGAAAATGTTAGCTAACCATAACTGGTTATTCGAAGTTGATATCACTAGTGAGCAGTGTGGAGACCTAACCCTGCAAGTGCTGATGATTATAACAAAGGGTTTAGAAAGGAAAGTGTACTTTACTTGAATGTGAAGCATGTTTGTTTTATAGGAAAATAGTGGGTAGGGGATAAATTAAAGCTTTAACAGCATGTTTGGTGGTATGATCGTGTGATAGTATGATAGTGTGATAGTATGATAGTCCACACAAGGAGAGGTAAGGTGAACCCTAGGTATAGGTTGGTGTTTCAAACTTATATAATAGGTTATCAGGACTTACCAGTAAATTTGTATTTGCAATAAGAGGTTGTAGAGAGAGTCAAGGAGAAAAGTGAAATATAGCATGTATGGCAGATTTTTACACAATTTGCTAAGTAAGTTAATTTGTGCCTCAGGAAAATCTCTTTATAGAATATTATCCGGTGAAGCTGTTGTACTTGTGTGTTTGTGCAAATGAGAGAGTTTGTTTATAAAGGGAATTGTGGGTAAGTATGTGGAAAGGAAGTTCTGTTTGTGTTATCTGAGTAAATGGAATTGATGTGTGTTTTGAAGGAGCTTTGCTGATGTGTACCTGTGTGCTATGGTTGTGGAAAAGGAACTGGCAGTATTTGTATGTGTGGAAAAGAAGTGGTATGTCCATTTGTGGAACAGTAATTGGTCACGTATGTGTATTATTGTATGTATTGTTGTATGAAAAGATAATTGATGTTATGTTTATATTTTTAAAGGGTAATGGTGGTGTGTGTGTGTGTGTAGTTAAGGACTTAGCAGTGTATCTATATGTGGAGAAGAAACTTGTATCTGTGTGCAATAGAGGAATTGTTGGTGGGTAAGTTTCTGAGCAGAGTCTGTAGAGGAATTGGTGGTGTATGTGGAAAGGAAACTTAGAAAAAGAAACTTTTCATTTTTCCAGAAATGTTTGGTATGATTGACTTTTTTTAGATCAGAAAGCCAACAGCATTTGCCAAAAAATAGGAGGATAAAAAGTTACACACAGAAATAAATTCAATTTATATTTCTAAAATGTGCCAACCGTTCAAATTTTTTTTTTAGCAAATGTAATATTTTAAATTGCATAGTTGGCACATCAAAAAACAATAAAATGGCAAGTGTCTGCATAATGTTTATTATCATTAGTGGTAGTAACAGTGGTAGTAGAAGTAACAGTAGTAGTGTGGCGAAAGTGACCTCGCCACTGGTTTTTGGAGCGGACTACTTGCCAGCCCTTTACCCTGTGACTATGGCCCCTTTCATTTATTGTGGTTTAGAGACCCTATTTGTGGCTATTGGGACTTTAAACAATGGTTCTTCGAACTCCCGAACAGTCGAAGTGGCCACCATTCGAACATGTGATGGCAGCCATCTTGTTTGCATGGACCAAAACCGCTAAAAGACTTCAGGGGGACTTAGCCGCAAATGCCCCGGAACTATTTTCGGCATTAAAACCTCGCGGTTCCCGGTCGGTCCTCCAGCGGCACTTAGCTGCAATTCTATGGAACTGTTTTGGGCATAAAATCCTCTGTTCGCCTGGGCAAAACTATGACTTCCATAAAATTTCTGAACCCCTGATCTGATCTGGGTGATTTTTTGATATGTTGGTCACCCAGATCAGGGCTATCATGGGATGTAAGAATGGGAATATGTTGTGTTTTAGGGTTCTTATTGGACTTGTCGTAGGTCCAGCGTGGGTAGGAGACGGCGAGTTCCCAGCCAAGCTGTAACGCTGGATGTGGGGACTGCAGTGATGATGGTGTCTGGTGGTGTGCTTTGAGTCCTCGGTGAGCACTAGGAGCATCCGTCAGCGGAGGTACCCTACCGGGGTATAGAAAGCTCCGTTACAAGTAGTAGTAATATTTTAAAGCACCAACTATTTTAATTTGGAAACATTACAGAAAACAAATAATAAACAGACTATAAAATGTTAACAAGAAACAAGAGGTTATTGGGAACCTTAAACAAGCTTACTGTTTCCAGGGCAATATTAAAATTGAAAAAAAAAGTTACATTGCATATATTTTTCTATTATTAATACATAACTTGCAGGAATAGTAAAGGGGTTTAACTTAAAGGACCACTACAGTGCCAGGAAAACATACTCGTTTTCCTGGCACTATAGTGCCCTGAGGGTGCCCCCACCCTCAGGGACCCCCTCCAGCCCGGCTCTGGAAGGGGGAAAGGGGTAAAAACTTACCTTTTTCCAGCGCTGGGCGGGGAGCTCTCCTCCTTCTCTCCTCCTCTGTTCCTCCTCCTGGGCTGAATGCGCACGCGCGGCAAGAGCTGCGCGCGCATTCAGCCCGTCGCATAGGAAAGCATTTACAATGCTTTCCTATGGACGCTGGCGTGCTCTCACTGTGAAAATCACAGTGAGAAGCACGCAAGCGCCTCTAGTGGCTGTCAATGAGACAGCCACTAGAGGGAATAGGGGGAAGGCTTAACCCATTAATAAACATAGCAGTTTCTCTGAAACTGCTATGTTTATAAAAAAAATGGGTTAACCCTAGAAGGACCTGGCACCCAGACCACTTCATTAAGCTGAAGTGGTCTGGGTGCCTAGAGTGGTCCTTTAATGCTATTTCTTCTCTTCAAATATTATACAGCTGTTTTAAGAAATATAGAAGCTTTTTATGTAAACATATAGAAAGATGAATTCAGGTACTCGACATACCAAATACTAAAAGAATGTAAAAAATACAATTATCTGCACATGGGACAGTGAGGTGGGTGAGAGGGGAGTGACATCATATAGAGCAGTGCTTCTCAACCCTCTCCTCAAGGCACACCTAGCAGTCCAGGATTTAGGTATTACCCAGGTGTGTCTAAGGTGTTTAGGTTTTTTTAAACACCTTAGACACACCCAGGTAATCCCTGTTAGGTGTGCCTTGAGGAGAGGGTTGAGGAGCACTGGTATAGAGTATCTCTGCAAGGAGTAGAGGATTACCCAGTTCATAGGCGGAGAGGTATAGTGTCTATGCAGTGGGCAGTGGACTATACAGTTTATAGGCTGAGAGGTTTTTGTTTCTTAGCTGGGTGAGGCACTGTGTGGAAGGAGCTAGAACATCAGGAGGGTTAGATGTTATATTGTTTTCTATGTTAAATATGTAAATAACTTATCAACTCTGTACACATGCTGGTAGATAGGGAGTTAATGCAGGTTTCATATTGTTAAAAGCACAAATCTTTTAGATGGCCATTTGAGAGTAAAGCTACAAAGACATCAGACATATTTCCAAGCCTTAAGTAACAGTTAGTCACAAATTATACCAAAAAGCATCTATATTAAGACTGACTTTTAGAACGTTGTGACGTAATTCTTTTCAGAAACCGACAGCTGCAACTTTCTACTAAATAATTAGGTGGTTGTTATTTTCACAAACAGAAAAAAAACCAATATTTTATAGCTCACACAATTGCAAAAGAATTGTCTGCATATTACAAGCTTCAGAAATTCCCAAATTAATTATTCAAAACACAAACTCTGTGGAACCCACAATTTTTGCAAGCTACAGGTGAAGCTAAACCACAGACCTTGTACTTTGAACATTGAGCAAGTATAGTGGTTTGGAAAAGAGGTCAACAGGTGGCTTCTACTAACATGGCTGTTAGTGTTATACAGATTGTCGAGTTGGTATAAAAAATGGGCTATCTCTGGAAGATTTTCTGCTATGACCCTAATTATGCTCCTTATTGAAACATTCTTTTCTACCTGACTGAGAACAACAGAAGGAAGGGCTGCGCCTCAAATAGATACCAAATTATGTAAACGTCTATTAGCCAGGGATAAATAGAGACTAGAAAGAGAAATAGCAGAGATGGAGGATTGATCGCCTCATACAGAGACCGGGCTGATCACCTCCAAGCCACCCCAAAACAGCGTCTCAAAAATAATAAACAATTTTATTGGGAAAAACCTTATTAAAATCAAAGAAGGAAAACACATCTATCTATAGATAAAATAAATAAAGCTCAATATATACAGAGTATGGCTGATATATATATGTATATATAGTATAGTATGTCAAATACCTATAGGTAAGGTATAGTACATATATAAATACATAAGAACCATAGACTGTGCAATGCAAGCCCGATACAGAATATAGAATATGGCTAAAATATAAGTATAATACTATAATAAGTACCTGTGCAAAAAAATAATAATAATAAAGAGTAGATACAATAGTAAATATGAAAAACCAAAAATTCTGCACTTAAAAAACTAATCGCTGCAGAGTATGGTTAACCATATCAGAGTGTGGCAAAATCATTATGAAGTGAAACAGTGTAAGCCACAATAGTAGCCAAAGGCTCTGCTGCTGTACCTACAGGGTTAAGTTTTGAATGGAAATCGAAAGGATAGAAGAGGGCATAAATTAAAGGAGAAAAATAAAGCAGAAAGACCTGATTATAGATCTACATACAGGAAAACTAGGTCTGAGTGCCTAATCCCGATAACCAGCCCACCTATCACTAAATAAGAAAACCAGAGCTGCAAAAACGCTCAGTACCACTAAACCATACTGTAAGGTACAAAGAAAAAACAAAATAAACTTGATTAGCTATATAAAATAGCCCATAGCCCAACGCGCGTTTCGGTGGATTAACCACCTTTCTCAAGGGCACAAAGTAAAATGAGGCAAACAGAACAATCCCCCCTTACTCCATTTAAACGTTGATAGTACCTCCCAGTTCATCTGATTCGTCCATATGTCGGCTCCATCTCAGAGGAGGAGGGACAGGGATAGCCGCTCGTATCACAAGTCCGTGCGCATACCTGTCCACGCGCAGGCGCGCCGACTTAGTGTCAGGCTAAGTATCAGGAAGAACCGCGCATGTCATAGAGCCGCGCATGCGCATAACATAAAACCCGATTACAGGGTCAGTCCGTGCGCATGCGCGAATGTGTACATAGTAAACTTAGCGTACACAATGTTATACATATGCCGGTATAAATAACAAGTCCTAAAGAACGGAGTGCTACATTAGTAGCATTCAGAAGAGTGGAGTAAAAGGGGTAGAAAGTTCAAAAAACATATATAAATGAATCATCAAACGAAAAAGAATAACAGAAGAAAGATATTAAGTTCCCATCATATTTAGAGTTAATCACAAGCATACATTGTAAAGAGACAAAAGAGTGGTATTATAAACACTAATAACTAATAAATAAAGTAGAATAAAATAAAGTAATAGTAATAGGCTGAAAGAAAAAGATATATACATAATTGTATTCATTGTCCAATGATTACATACTAGAATACAGACGACAGAATCCCTATCAATCTATAGTCATTCACATAGTCTATAACTATATTAGATTGGTGCAGGGAAGTGTATATAAGTATATATGTATACATAGAAAAATACATACATGTGTATAAATATATATATATACAGTACATTGTTCAAAAAGGCTTCCTCTGAGAAGCGGATTATATGAAAGGGGCAAAAGAAAAGCCCTCATTAAGACCTAGAGGTTGGAGTGTCTTAAGTTCGTATATCCATCTTGACTCTCTCTGTCTTAATATTTTATCATAATCTCCACGTCTCAAAGTCCTTTTAACCAACTCCAAACCACAAAACCTAAGATTATTGGAATTCCCCTGGTGATGTTCTTTAAGGTGTCTCGATATGGGTGTCTCGAGGCGATTTCTAGGAGATCTCACATGCTCCATAATCCTATCCTTAAAGGCCCTAAAGGTTTTTCCCACATATTTCTGTCCACATGTGCAAGATAATAAATATACAAGGCCCTTCGTATTACAATTGAAGAAGCTTTTGACTTGGAAGGAATCACGTCCCTGACTGTCCTTAATAGTCTTAGAGTCCCTAAGGATAAATTTACAGGCTACGCATCTACCGCACCCATATGTACCAATTGGGGGGGTACCAAGCCAAGTGGCGCGTTGTTGTGGTTTCATGGAGAAATGGCTAGGAACCAATAAATCACGAATGTTCCGTCCACGTCTGGATGTAATGTTAACATGTGGGCTTAGAGTATCTTTGAGATGCACATCATTGAGCAGGATGGGCCAGAAACGTTCAAGTGATTTCCGAACTTCTGGCCATCCCACATCAAATGTTGCTATCATGCGAATATTTCCAACGTCCTGATTAGTGTCCATTTTTGGACGATCACACAATAACTCACTCCTCTCAGTCTGGAGTGCTCTTTTGTAGGCCCTTTTTAAACAACGATTCGGGTAACCTTTCTCCTTAAAATGTTGCCGAAGTTGTTTCGCCTTGATTATAAAATCCTGGGTGTCACTACAGTTTCTCCGGAGGCGAAGATATTGGCCTACCGGTATACCCTCTTTGAGGGGACGCGGATGATGGCTAGTCCAGTGTAGAAGGGAATTAGTTGCTGTAGGTTTACGAAACAGCGTAGAATGGAATGTACCATCTTCACTGATACTAATGGTGACATCAAGAAAATTTATAGAACGTCCTCCGAATTCAGATGTGAATCGGAGGTTTTCATCATTTTGATTAAGGAGTGTCACCATATCCTGAAATTCACCAGGGGTACCTTGCCAGACGATCAGGATATCGTCGATATATCGACCCCACCACAGGACCTTAGATAGGTGTCCACTTAACTTGTCTGAGTGGCGCACCTGTTCTTCCCACCACCCCAGGTGGAGGTTTGCATATGAGGGGGCACAAGCCGTCCCCATGGCAGTACCCCTCACCTGGTGGTAGAACCGGTTGTTAAACAAAAAATAGTTGTGTGATAAAATGAACTTAAGAAGGCGTAGAAAAAAAATCGTATAAGGGTCATCACTTGAGACTTTTTGAGTAAGAAAGAAACTCACATGATCTAGACCTCTGTCATGAGGTATAGATGAATATAAGGATTCAACATCCAGACTGCATAGTTGGGCGGTGGAGGAGAATTTAAGGTTAGCCAATTTAATAAGTGCCTGTTTAGTATCCCTGATGTATGAGGGTAGAGTTTCGACAAAAGGTCTTAAAACTTTATCAATATACAGACTACCATTTTGCGTAAGGTTATCGACCCCAGAAACTATGGGGCGCCCAGGGGGGGTCTCTAGATTCTTGTGGATCTTCGGCAGGCAGTAGAAGGTTGCTATCTTGGGGTGACGAGTGAGAATAAATTCAAACTCGTCACCCGACAGCAACCCCCCACTGCGGCCCTCATCCAGGATCTCTTTGTACATAGAGAGAAAGGCATTAGTGGGATCTTGCTTAAGGACTATATATGTCTCAGTGTCCTTTAGGACTTGTTCCGCCATTTCAAGATATTTTTCCACATCCATCACAACGATATTTCCCCCCTTATCGGCGGGTTTAATGATGATATCAATATCATCTTGTAAAGTTTTTAAAGCACGTTGTTCCTGTTTTAGGAGATTATCACGTGAATGGATGCGGAGAGATTTAAGGTTGATTTTTTCGATTTCAGTTTTGGCTGCTTCCAAAAAAAGTTCGATATTCCTATAGCTCGAAAAGTTTGGTGTGAAGCGACTCTTGGATTTTAAACCTGTACGATTTGGTGTAATATTAGAGTCATTTTCATCCAATAGAGCTAGCAAATTAGTGAGACATTGAAAGTCACTTGATGCAAGTCCCAAATCTTTTGCCCTTCTTTCATTTTGTATAGAATGGAATTTATATAACGCCAGTTTCCTAACAAAGAGATTGAGATCCCTTATCCAACCAAACTTATCAAATGGTGGTGTAGGTACAAATGAAAGACCCCTCCCCAGAACAGCTTCTTGGTCCAAAGTTAGACTTCGGGAAGAGAGGTTGACTATCTGGGATTTACGTTCTAATATATGGATATCACCTAGAACCTCTTCCTCCTCCCCCCTCCTCTCGGATTGCGAGTCTGATAGCGCGTCCGTAGGCTCGGGAATTCTTCCTGATAGCCTGGCGCTAAAAAATTAACCCCTTTCTTTAAAATCCCTTTGGGGTTAGAATTACTTGTGGGTAGGCTGGACTGGGACACATTATCAACTACACTACTTAGAGTCTGACTCCCAGAATCTGTGTCGGATGAGTCATATTCTGAAGTCAAACCATTATCGGAAGTACGTCGTACTCTACGATTAAAAAATTTGTATACATTCCCTGCTTGATAATCATTGGAGTCCCTTAGGAATTTATCATGTTTCCTAAATTTCACAGACTCCTGGTATTTATCCAGGTTCTGCTTTAATCTAGATTCAAGGAAAGTGAAATTAGGATCATTTTGAAATTGTTTAATTTCCTCAAGTTCTCCATCCAAGTCTGTATTCACTTTCTTAAGTTGTTCCTGTTCGAATTTGCAGATAATCTGCATAAATGTTTTAGAGCAGGTGCCAGCCGCGGCTTCCCATTCCTTCATCAGATCTGCATTGTCTGTATAGGATGAGGGAATGTTCCGCACTCTAAGGCCTCTTGGGATCATTTCTTTACTCATGTAGTTTTCAAGTGATGAAATTTCCCAACAGGTTCGGATCTGTTTTTTATATAGATTATGTAATTTATTGAATGATTTATTAATATTAGGAGTAGTCGTATTAAAGTCTAGTTTGGTGTTAGAGAATACATTTTCTGCATCTCTACACCAGACACTGCTCTCAATTTTATTGGATAGAAAACCAGCCATAGTGAAAAAATAATAATAAAGAAAAATTAGTACAAATTGTTATAATAACCACTCTATAATCACCCTGGTATTAAAACCTGATAGAATAATTTAAATAAATAGTACTACCTAGTTAGACAGCCCAACTTGGAGTACCGAAAAATGGGTGAATGGGGTGGCAAAAGGGCATAACCCTATAATAGATACAGAAAGAGAAATAGCAGAGATGGAGGATTGATCGCCTCATACAGAGACCGGGCTGATCACCTCCAAGCCACCCCAAAACAGCGTCTCAAAAATAATAAACAATTTTATTGGGAAAAACCTTATTAAAATCAAAGAAGGAAAACACATCTATCTATAGATAAAATAAATAAAGCTCAATATATACAGAGTATGGCTGATATATATATGTATATATAGTATAGTATGTCAAATACCTATAGGTAAGGTATAGTACATATATAAATACATAAGAACCATAGACTGTGCAATGCAAGCCCGATACAGAATATAGAATATGGCTAAAATATAAGTATAATACTATAATAAGTACCTGTGCAAAAAAATAATAATAATAAAGAGTAGATACAATAGTAAATATGAAAAACCAAAAATTCTGCACTTAAAAAACTAATCGCTGCAGAGTATGGTTAACCATATCAGAGTGTGGCAAAATCATTATGAAGTGAAACAGTGTAAGCCACAATAGTAGCCAAAGGCTCTGCTGCTGTACCTACAGGGTTAAGTTTTGAATGGAAATCGAAAGGATAGAAGAGGGCATAAATTAAAGGAGAAAAATAAAGCAGAAAGACCTGATTATAGATCTACATACAGGAAAACTAGGTCTGAGTGCCTAATCCCGATAACCAGCCCACCTATCACTAAATAAGAAAACCAGAGCTGCAAAAACGCTCAGTACCACTAAACCATACTGTAAGGTACAAAGAAAAAACAAAATAAACTTGATTAGCTATATAAAATAGCCCATAGCCCAACGCGCGTTTCGGTGGATTAACCACCTTTCTCAAGGGCACAAAGTAAAATGAGGCAAACAGAACAATCCCCCCTTACTCCATTTAAACGTTGATAGTACCTCCCAGTTCATCTGATTCGTCCATATGTCGGCTCCATCTCAGAGGAGGAGGGACAGGGATAGCCGCTCGTATCACAAGTCCGTGCGCATACCTGTCCACGCGCAGGCGCGCCGACTTAGTGTCAGGCTAAGTATCAGGAAGAACCGCGCATGTCATAGAGCCGCGCATGCGCATAACATAAAACCCGATTTTATATTTAATATTGTTTATTATTTTTGAGACGCTGTTTTGGGGTGGCTTGGAGGTGATCAGCCCGGTCTCTGTATGAGGCGATCAATCCTCCATCTCTGCTATTTCTCTTTCTGTATCTATTATAGGGTTATGCCCTTTTGCCACCCCATTCACCCATTTTTCGGTACTCCAAGTTGGGCTGTCTAACTAGGTAGTACTATTTATTTAAATTATTCTATCAGGTTTTAATACCAGGGTGATTATAGAGTGGTTATTATAACAATTTGTACTAATTTTTCTTTATTATTATTTTTTCACTATGGCTGGTTTTCTATCCAATAAAATTGAGAGCAGTGTCTGGTGTAGAGATGCAGAAAATGTATTCTCTAACACCAAACTAGACTTTAATACGACTACTCCTAATATTAATAAATCATTCAATAAATTACATAATCTATATAAAAAACAGATCCGAACCTGTTGGGAAATTTCATCACTTGAAAACTACATGAGTAAAGAAATGATCCCAAGAGGCCTTAGAGTGCGGAACATTCCCTCATCCTATACAGACAATGCAGATCTGATGAAGGAATGGGAAGCCGCGGCTGGCACCTGCTCTAAAACATTTATGCAGATTATCTGCAAATTCGAACAGGAACAACTTAAGAAAGTGAATACAGACTTGGATGGAGAACTTGAGGAAATTAAACAATTTCAAAATGATCCTAATTTCACTTTCCTTGAATCTAGATTAAAGCAGAACCTGGATAAATACCAGGAGTCTGTGAAATTTAGGAAACATGATAAATTCCTAAGGGACTCCAATGATTATCAAGCAGGGAATGTATACAAATTTTTTAATCGTAGAGTACGACGTACTTCCGATAATGGTTTGACTTCAGAATATGACTCATCCGACACAGATTCTGGGAGTCAGACTCTAAGTAGTGTAGTTGATAATGTGTCCCAGTCCAGCCTACCCACAAGTAATTCTAACCCCAAAGGGATTTTAAAGAAAGGGGTTAATTTTTTAGCGCCAGGCTATCAGGAAGAATTCCCGAGCCTACGGACGCGCTATCAGACTCGCAATCCGAGAGGAGGGGGGAGGAGGAAGAGGTTCTAGGTGATATCCATATATTAGAACGTAAATCCCAGATAGTCAACCTCTCTTCCCGAAGTCTAACTTTGGACCAAGAAGCTGTTCTGGGGAGGGGTCTTTCATTTGTACCTACACCACCATTTGATAAGTTTGGTTGGATAAGGGATCTCAATCTCTTTGTTAGGAAACTGGCGTTATATAAATTCCATTCTATACAAAATGAAAGAAGGGCAAAAGATTTGGGACTTGCATCAAGTGACTTTCAATGTCTCACTAATTTGCTAGCTCTATTGGATGAAAATGACTCTAATATTACACCAAATCGTACAGGTTTAAAATCCAAGAGTCGCTTCACACCAAACTTTTCGAGCTATAGGAATATCGAACTTTTTTTGGAAGCAGCCAAAACTGAAATCGAAAAAATCAACCTTAAATCTCTCCGCATCCATTCACGTGATAATCTCCTAAGACAGGAACAACGTGCTTTAAAAACTTTACAAGATGATATTGATATCATCATTAAACCCGCCGATAAGGGGGGAAATATCGTTGTGATGGATGTGGAAAAATATCTTGAAATGGCGGAACAAGTCCTAAAGGACACTGAGACATATATAGTCCTTAAGCAAGATCCCACTAATGCCTTTCTCTCTATGTACAAAGAGATCCTGGATGAGGGCCGCAGTGGGGGGTTGCTGTCGGGTGACGAGTTTGAATTTATTCTCACTCGTCACCCCAAGATAGCAACCTTCTACTGCCTGCCGAAGATCCACAAGAATCTAGAGACCCCCCCTGGGCGCCCCATAGTTTCTGGGGTCGATAACCTTACGCAAAATGGTAGTCTGTATATTGATAAAGTTTTAAGACCTTTTGTCGAAACTCTACCCTCATACATCAGGGATACTAAACAGGCACTTATTAAATTGGCTAACCTTAAATTCTCCTCCACCGCCCAACTATGCAGTCTGGATGTTGAATCCTTATATTCATCTATACCTCATGACAGAGGTCTAGATCATGTGAGTTTCTTTCTTACTCAAAAAGTCTCAAGTGATGACCCTTATACGATTTTTTTTCTACGCCTTCTTAAGTTCATTTTATCACACAACTATTTTTTGTTTAACAACCGGTTCTACCACCAGGTGAGGGGTACTGCCATGGGGACGGCTTGTGCCCCCTCATATGCAAACCTCCTCCACCTGGGGTGGTGGGAAGAACAGGTGCGCCACTCAGACAAGTTAAGTGGACACCTATCTAAGGTCCTGTGGTGGGGTCGATATATCGACGATATCCTGATCGTCTGGCAAGGTACCCCTGGTGAATTTCAGGATATGGTGACACTCCTTAATCAAAATGATGAAAACCTCCGATTCACATCTGAATTCGGAGGACGTTCTATAAATTTTCTTGATGTCACCATTAGTATCAGTGAAGATGGTACATTCCATTCTACGCTGTTTCGTAAACCTACAGCAACTAATTCCCTTCTACACTGGACTAGCCATCATCCGCGTCCCCTCAAAGAGGGTATACCGGTAGGCCAATATCTTCGCCTCCGGAGAAACTGTAGTGACACCCAGGATTTTATAATCAAGGCGAAACAACTTCGGCAACATTTTAAGGAGAAAGGTTACCCGAATCGTTGTTTAAAAAGGGCCTACAAAAGAGCACTCCAGACTGAGAGGAGTGAGTTATTGTGTGATCGTCCAAAAATGGACACTAATCAGGACGTTGGAAATATTCGCATGATAGCAACATTTGATGTGGGATGGCCAGAAGTTCGGAAATCACTTGAACGTTTCTGGCCCATCCTGCTCAATGATGTGCATCTCAAAGATACTCTAAGCCCACATGTTAACATTACATCCAGACGTGGACGGAACATTCGTGATTTATTGGTTCCTAGCCATTTCTCCATGAAACCACAACAACGCGCCACTTGGCTTGGTACCCCCCCAATTGGTACATATGGGTGCGGTAGATGCGTAGCCTGTAAATTTATCCTTAGGGACTCTAAGACTATTAAGGACAGTCAGGGACGTGATTCCTTCCAAGTCAAAAGCTTCTTCAATTGTAATACGAAGGGCCTTGTATATTTATTATCTTGCACATGTGGACAGAAATATGTGGGAAAAACCTTTAGGGCCTTTAAGGATAGGATTATGGAGCATGTGAGATCTCCTAGAAATCGCCTCGAGACACCCATATCGAGACACCTTAAAGAACATCACCAGGGGAATTCCAATAATCTTAGGTTTTGTGGTTTGGAGTTGGTTAAAAGGACTTTGAGACGTGGAGATTATGATAAAATATTAAGACAGAGAGAGTCAAGATGGATATACGAACTTAAGACACTCCAACCTCTAGGTCTTAATGAGGGCTTTTCTTTTGCCCCTTTCATATAATCCGCTTCTCAGAGGAAGCCTTTTTGAACAATGTACTGTATATATATATATTTATACACATGTATGTATTTTTCTATGTATACATATATACTTATATACACTTCCCTGCACCAATCTAATATAGTTATAGACTATGTGAATGACTATAGATTGATAGGGATTCTGTCGTCTGTATTCTAGTATGTAATCATTGGACAATGAATACAATTATGTATATATCTTTTTCTTTCAGCCTATTACTATTACTTTATTTTATTCTACTTTATTTATTAGTTATTAGTGTTTATAATACCACTCTTTTGTCTCTTTACAATGTATGCTTGTGATTAACTCTAAATATGATGGGAACTTAATATCTTTCTTCTGTTATTCTTTTTCGTTTGATGATTCATTTATATATGTTTTTTGAACTTTCTACCCCTTTTACTCCACTCTTCTGAATGCTACTAATGTAGCACTCCGTTCTTTAGGACTTGTTATTTATACCGGCATATGTATAACACTGTGTACGCTAAGTTTACTATGTACACATTCGCGCATGCGCACGGACTGACCCTGTAATCGGGTTTTATGTTATGCGCATGCGCGGCTCTATGACATGCGCGGTTCTTCCTGATACTTAGCCTGACACTAAGTCGGCGCGCCTGCGCGTGGACAGGTATGCGCACGGACTTGTGATACGAGCGGCTATCCCTGTCCCTCCTCCTCTGAGATGGAGCCGACATATGGACGAATCAGATGAACTGGGAGGTACTATCAACGTTTAAATGGAGTAAGGGGGGATTGTTCTGTTTGCCTCATTTTACTTTGTGCCCTTGAGAAAGGTGGTTAATCCACCGAAACGCGCGTTGGGCTATGGGCTATTTTATATAGCTAATCAAGTTTATTTTGTTTTTTCTTTGTACCTTACAGTATGGTTTAGTGGTACTGAGCGTTTTTGCAGCTCTGGTTTTCTTATTTAGTGATAGGTGGGCTGGTTATCGGGATTAGGCACTCAGACCTAGTTTTCCTGTATGTAGATCTATAATCAGGTCTTTCTGCTTTATTTTTCTCCTTTAATTTATGCCCTCTTCTATCCTTTCGATTTCCATTCAAAACTTAACCCTGTAGGTACAGCAGCAGAGCCTTTGGCTACTATTGTGGCTTACACTGTTTCACTTCATAATGATTTTGCCACACTCTGATATGGTTAACCATACTCTGCAGCGATTAGTTTTTTAAGTGCAGAATTTTTGGTTTTTCATATTTACTATTGTATCTACTCTTTATTATTATTTTTTTGCACAGGTACTTATTATAGTATTATACTTATATTTTAGCCATATTCTATATTCTGTATCGGGCTTGCATTGCACAGTCTATGGTTCTTATGTATTTATATATGTACTATACCTTACCTATAGGTATTTGACATACTATACTATATATACATATATATATCAGCCATACTCTGTATATATTGAGCTTTATTTATTTTATCTATAGATAGATGTGTTTTCCTTCTTTGATTTTAATAAGGTTTTTCCCAATAAAATTGTTTATTATTTTTGAGACGCTGTTTTGGGGTGGCTTGGAGGTGATCAGCCCGGTCTCTGTATGAGGCGATCAATCCTCCATCTCTGCTATTTCTCTTTCTGTATCTATTATAGGGTTATGCCCTTTTGCCACCCCATTCACCCATTTTTCGGTACTCCAAGTTGGGCTGTCTAACTAGGTAGTACTATTTATATAAATAGAGACTATACAAGCAATATATACACAATATAAAACAATACCATAGTCCAAAAAAGTCTATGTAAAAGATACCCATGTAGATAGTAATACGTACAGGTACAGTGCTGGGTCAAACCAGAAGCTTCTAAATCAGAGAGTTCTTGTTGGGAAGTTATGATAATATTCAGAATTTCTTGATGTGTCCTATACACTCAGTGCAATATGTTGCATCAACCAAAGTAGTTATAGTACAATAGCGATGGGTTACTCACATTTAGTAGAGCTATAGCAAGCTCCAGCGTGTAGAGCATTCAGTGGTATAATTCCCACATATATGATTTGATGTCGGTGTCCTCAATAGGAATAGTGCCAGCCACCCAAAATTAAAAAGAAAAAAAGGCAAGCGCAACTATTGGTAAAAAGGTACCACAACTGGAGGTGCCGTGCATCAATTGCTGGAGTTGTGCTATATTTCTGTGATATGTAATGCTAATCTGTAGATTTAGCAGACAGCAGATGGCACTATAATTAAATAAGTTATAGGTGATGTGGCCACGTGTGACAACTCCTTCTCTGATTTTGTCATGCCTATAAAATAACAGCTTGGAATATCGAAGAAGTATTGTTCTACCTGATCCCCAGCATTAACAAGCTGCACATCACATACTGCGACCAATCACGCAGTTTGTCAGTGAAACTTTTAATTCCTTTTTTAATAAAACATAACCGTAATATACCATTCGTGGAATAAAGAAAGGGAAGCACGTCTGTTTGGAAAGAGAATGCTGGGTATTTTATTCCTTGTTAATCCTCTCTAATCTCGTATAATATCCACCATGGATAAATATAAGACCTATTTATACATAAAACAAAAATTAGAGTACTCCCTGTAAAATACTGTGTGAGTTTTACTAGACTTTTTTAAGCCACAATGTCAATATTCAAACCTGGGTTGCCTTGGCTACTGTGTGCACTGGAAGTGAAATTACTAGTACCTTCTACTTTGCTCCATGAACGCCCTTCGATAGGCAACTGAAACAGCAGGCAGCAGTAGAAAGGCATTAGTTAAAAGCTGTTATTGTTTAACTTTATTACTTGGATAGTTATTCTAGTATGAAGGCAAATACATCACTAATGAATAATGTTTAATCATATTCCTCTGTTAAAACTTTCACATGTTTTTTTCACCCAATCTCCATTCCAGTTTGGAAGCTTACATCTGCCACTGTGTGATATATCTGTCAGTTTATCTGTCAGTTTCATATATGTAAGTACAGTATATGAAATGTGTCTGTGTGTATAAAATGTAGCAAAGTGTGTTGCCTATTAAATGAATACAGTTCTTAAAGGAACACTCCAGGCAAAATAACACTTCATCTAAATGGCATACTTACCTCAAGAGGTTTAACCCCCAAAGTTGCCTCCAGCACTGATCTCATCTCTCCCCAGACGGCATCCAGCTTCTGAAATTTAAGTTTCAGGAAGCGAGGAGTGCAGCCAGGCCGGGGCACCACGGATTGACTGAGCGCGGTCAGCTGACACTCTCAACCAGTCAGTGACTTCCCATTCTGAAAACTGGCTTAGAAAGAAAAATACCAATCACCTGGTGGCACTCTGCGTTTCCTGAAACGTAAATTTCAGGAAATGCATGCCGCCTGGGTGGAGCTGAGATCGGTGCTAGAGGCAACTTCGGGTTAAATTGTTTGAGAACGGTTTAACCCCTTGAGGTAAAAGTGCGCCAGGGGCCTCCTGGTACCATAACAACTTCAACAACTTACCTGGGGTGCACCAGGTGTCTGTTCCAGCCTTATTTGGAGCCAGAATCTCCTGTAATGAGCTTTTGTTAGCTCCACTGAGCTAAACCCTGCCGTGCAAGGCCAACTTATTGTTTGAGAGAGGCAGCTAAGCACTCTTAGACATTGAGCTAATTTATCCTAAGGCTTAGTTCAATGCAGAGAGCTTCTGACTGCACAAGAAGATGTTCACAGTGGTGTGAATTCCAGGTAAGTTGTAAAACTATTAGCAAAATGGTTTGACTACTGATCCTGGGAGAATGACAGGGCACTTCAGGCACCATAATCACTAGACTTGTGCAGATGTTTGTTTTGAGTGGTTCATCCAAGTCAAATGCCTTTTAATCCACAACCAGACAAATCGATCATCCAGAATTTACCTATTGAATCTTATACATTGATAGGACTCCACGGGTAAATGCCAGGTGATTGATTTGTTTGGGTATGAATTAAAGTCTGGGCTGTAATGGTTACATAGTTACATAGCTGAAAAGAGACTTGCGTCCATCAAGTTCAGCCTTCCTCACATTTGTTTTTTGCTGTTGATCCAAAAGAAGGCAAAAACCCAGTTTGAAGCACAATTTTGCAACAAGCTAGGAAAAAAAATTCCTTCTTGACCCCAGAATGGCAGTCAGATTTATCCTTGGATCAAGCAGTTATTACCCTACATTGAAAGATTATATCCTTGAATATTCTGTTTTTGCAAGTATGCATCTAGTAGCTGTTTGAACATCTGTATGGACTCTGATAAAACCCCTTCTTCAGGCAGAGAATTCCACATCCTGATTGTTCTTACAGTAAAAAACCCTTTCCTTTGCCTTAGACGAAATCTTCTTTCTTCCAGTCTAAACGCATGGCCTCGTGTCCTATGTAAAGTCTGGTTAGTGAATAGATTTCCACATTTGTATAATGTTATCATATCCCCTCTCAGGCGATGTTTTTCTAAAGTAAATAGGTTTAACTTTAACAGCTGTTAGGGTGCTTGGAGTGTTCCTTTCAGCTTCATTCAAAATTAAAACACAGGCAAGTTATACTTGTTTTTTTTAGCTTTTATTCAGTTTCTGCATGTGAACTGGATACTTGGCAGTCCTATAATTGGATGAATGTTGAAACAGTGTGTTCCACTTGACAGTTGTTTTTGCATTTATTGGAAAATGCATTATTTAGCAAGTTCTAGAATAGCCAATTATGAAAATACCATAATACAATAATTACACGTGCCACCTGCTACTGTGACTTATCTGGGCCCATGCATGCTAATGCTTCCAAATGCATAACAGTTAATGGTCCAATAAAAACATTACAGCACTCGCAAAACTACCAGGATACCTAGGTTAAAATGGAGAATAAGATGCATTTTTATTTTTGCAACCCTTTACATATTATTATTGAATAAAGAACATGTTTGCAGTAATCATTTAAGTGTGAATGAATTGGGTATATGTAAAAGCATAAGGAAAGTAACTAATTATATTTGGCATCTCAGCGTTTGAAACCAAGAGTGTGTGGTGCTACTGTTCAAGGTGATCTCACAAATGGACTCAAATTTTGCCCTCGAGTTAATATTTTTGGATAGCTTTTCAAATGATTTAATATTTTTGGCTAAACTTTTTAACTTATTGTTTCAAATTATTAAAATAAAATAAAAATATATGTAAAACTATAAAAACCATTAAATGCCGGGGGGCGGGGCCTGACCACTGAAAGAAGTGGTCGCGGGTGACATTTTAACCTAGGTATCCTGGTAGTTTTGCGAGTGCTGTAATGTTTTTATTGGACCATTAACTGTTTTGCATTTGGAAGCATTAGCATGCATGGGCCCAAATAAGTCACAGTAGCAGGTGGCACGTGTAATTATTGTATTATGGTATTTTCATAATCGGCTATTCTAGAACTTGCTAAATAATGCATTTTCCAATAAATGCAAAAACAACTGTCAAGTGAAACACACTGTTTCAACATTCATTCGAATGAAATTGCGATCCGAATAAAGTACCGAATTGTGCTCTAAAAGAAACGAACATACTGTTCTCATTCAGTTAGAACGCAATTCGTCAGTTTCATCTAAAATGACAGGAAGCATCGCGGGAACACAGAAGAAAGGTGAGAATTGTGGGAAAATTGCTCTGACCAGCGGAAATGAAGCACACTTTGCTCCTTCGCTGGTCAGAGCTGGTCAAGCGGAGGAATCCTCCATAAGGCAAAGAGTCCCTACTTTGTCTTATGATTTTAAAGAAAACTAAAGAAGACAGGAAGAAAAGAAGAACAGATCCTGAGAGAGGCGGAGAAGAGGAAGGGACTGAGGAAAGGTAAGTTCGGCATGACAGTGCCGCTTTAAATTGAGGCTTATGTCAGGAACTAGGTCTTCAGACAAATAAAAAAAGAGGTTCAACCTGGGATCGACCTTAGCAGGCAATTGCGACAGTATATACAATGTATTAAACTGTGATATTGTGCTATGCCAGATACATGTTTATGTGACTTTTGAGGTTAATTCCCACTAAGTGAATTGATCATCTGAATAATAAATTCAGTTTTCTTATTTAAAAATAAATAAATTGATATTTCATATGTACATGACATTTAGTAAGAGAAAAACAAATGAAATTGAATAAAGCAAGGTGTTCAGTCCTTCTGGCAGCAAGTTAACAGTGAAATATATGAAAATTATCGGTGAACAAGTAGGTATACTATTATTTAGACACTGTAAAACATAAGTCAGAGTTAAGGCTAAGAAAGAGGGAGAAAAGAGGTACTTTCTGAATATCGTTCACTATTTTTAGGGTGAGGGGGATAGGTAGGTCTTTATTAAAACATTTTTTTATTATATTTTAGTGCCCCAACTCGCCGCTCATGGGGGCCGAGGGGTGGACAATAGGTCACCCCTCATTTTCATTTAGGGCCCCCATCCGCCACTCAGGGTTGGGGGCCGAGGGGAGGACAATAGGTCACCCCTCATTTTCATTTAGGGCCCCCATCCGCCACTCAGTGGTGGGGGGCGCACAGGCTGCTCACTGTTTACTAGACATGCCCCTATTCGCAATATAGCGAGTAGGGGCAGAATTTACTAATACTAAGTAATCTTTATTTAGTATGAGTAAAGTTGGCTGAAATACCAACTTAGGTCTTTCAGCCTTTTGGTAGATAGCTAAACTGTTCTCATTCTGTTAGGACGAAATTCAGTAGTTTCGCCGTTGGTCAAAGCTGGTCAAGCGTAGGAAACCTCCATAAGACAAAGTAGTCTTATGTTTTAAAGAAAACTAGAGCAGACAGGAAGAAATTAAGAACAGATCCTGAGAAAGGGAGAGAAGAGGAATTGATTAAAGAAAGGTAAATTCGGCATGACAGTGCCGCTTTAATATTGTTGGATACGTTTTCCAAATTATTTAATAATTTTTGGATAAACTTTTATTTTTTCAACAAATTAAAATGAAAAAAATACATCATATGTAAAATAGATATATATGTCAACATATCAAAATATTACAAAATGTTTAAAATATCTTTTATAATATTAAATCATTTTAAAGGTTTATCCAAAAATATTAAATGATTTATAAATCGTATCGAACAATATTAAAAGGCTATTTATATAAAGCAAAAAAAAGCTGAAAAATACATTTAGTCTTTCACGCATTGATGGTCCAAAAGAAGACAAAAAAAAAACAGTTTGAGGCGATTTCCAATTTTGTCACAAATGGGAAAAACACTAATTCAACCCAAAATGGGAGTCAGATGTTTCATTGGATCAAGCTGAGTCCTATAGAAAACGATACTCTGTAATGATGCATCATTCAAAAATGTTTCCAGAATGATTTTGGTTTTTTTAAATAGCTCATAAAATTCTACTAACTATAGATTTCAAGCTTAAAGGTTAATCACTTTATACCTAGGTGCTCCTATTTTTTAGGGCAGAACAGAGAATCTAAAGTTCCATCTCGAATCATAATTTGGTTCTCAGGACCTATATTTACTTTTCTGACTTTCATTTTTATATTAAAATTGTATCGTATTTGCAAGAGGTTTTATATTAAAGGACCACTCTAGGCACCCAGACCACTTCAGCTTAATGAAGTGGTCTGGGTGCCAGGTTAAGCCATTTTGGGGCACCCTCCAACTAGGGTTAAGCCATTTTGGGGCACCCTCAGGGCACTATAGTGCCAGGAAAACTAGTGTTTTCCTGGCACTATAATGGTCCTTTAAATAGATGTTTATTTTAATGCATGGAAGATGATGATGCTGTGGGTACTGGCTGATCATGCTGAATTTGTTGATATTTTCAATAACTTAGTTCATACTTTTGCTAATGCGGCTAGACTTTCCTGGGCACAAATATGTAAAGATTGGCACTAATCTAATATAACCTTAAAATAAATGGTTTTAAGTTTCAGTGTGAAAACAAAAATATCACTTGGAGCAAAATTTCATCCCATATTACATGTACATATAATTCAGTACTATCAAATGATTGACTATGGGTTTGAATACTTTTGCAAAGCACAGGAGACCTCATGCTTTAATTTATATGGATCTCAATAGATTTGCAAGACACTGTGTGTATGAGACATACTATTCCATTACATTATAATAGAAGCCCGGATATACTGAATGATACAACGCACAAACAGATACCATTTGCTGGTTTTACAACTTTAACCCAAACCGAGCCATTCAGAAAACAATCACCATGTTCCACAGTCAAATACTCACAGCGTATGATATATAAAACAAGCAATGTATTTCCTGGCCAAGAGATACTTGAATGTATATACATATTTATTTTCCCTGTACTATAAAGTAATAAACTACATTAAACAGTACAGAACTTCACTTAAAACACCAATTTTCTCTTGTTTTGCACAGTGAATCATTTGTTCAGTTATGTATAAATATGGTTTGAAATTCAGAAAAGGGTGAAAGGTTAAGTTTAATAACTTATTTCTGTGGGGTTTATAAGGTTTGAGAATAGAGAAAAAAAACAGCACAGAAAAGTTTGAGAACTTAATAAATACTAGACTTATGCAAAAATTTGTTTGGAGCATTTTGTCCAAATCAAATTCCATTTGTCACGATACCTTATCTTACTCCTGTGTTCCCTTCCCAGAATCAGCACAGCATGTCGACCCCTTTTATGACGTGGCGCGCTTACATCATAACGGCAATGCTGCGAAAATGTTAAAAATACAACGCCCCCTGATTTTCTTTTGGGAGGGGGGGCGTGGTTTTAAAGCAAAAGACGCTACCCTATATATAGAGCGTCTTTTGCTTTGGTTCAGTGCCCTATTGCCCTCTAATGCTATATAGTTTCCTGATAGTGTTCTCTGGTATTTATTATCTTTTGCTATTCCTTGACTATTCTCTCGCTATCCATGTTAAACCCAGCCATTCTAAGTTCCAAGTAATACGTTATCTCTACTCAAGGTTACATACTGCGTGTTGGGGTCACTTTGTCGTGACACCATTTACTTCACACCTGGATGAATTGTTCTGTCTGGGATTTTCCTGTGGTGTCTTTAAATCATTTATTCAGTGTAAATTAAAAGGAATTTGATTCGGACTACCCACTCCAAACACAAGTCTAACAAATACAAAATAAAAAAAGCAATCCATTATAATTTTGGGTGGCCAGATTATACATCTTACATGCTCAATGTGATGATGAATAGCCATGTTTGGGAATTATTTAAGGTAAATAGGGAACATTAAAAAAAACCGAAAAATAAAAACACATAAATCCATTTGCCCGGTAGCTAACAAGCACTCCTTGATTTAAAAAAAATATTAGTGTAACATTAATTTGAAGCAAAAGGTAGAATAGATAGCATATATATATATATATATATATATATATATATATATATATATATATATGTGTGTAGAAAGGCCATTAGGCCTGAATTTTTGGGAGGAGTAAGTCCCCTACTTAAACTCTCAGCCCCTACTCACCTCTGCCGGTAAAGTTGTTTGTCGTATCTCCATAGCAACCAGCACTTCCGGTCCAAGCTTCCCGCCAAACAACTCCAGTCTCCAGCAGCAGAGGTGTCCAGCTAAATCCTCTGTCCGTTCTGCAGCCCTGCCACCCGGCTTCTCCCCGGTCGCGGTATTTGGCTTCCGGTCACGAGACCGACACGCTCACGTAAGCTTGTGAGGGAAATAGCTTTTAGCTATTTCCCTCCGTTCGGGCCTAAAAACGTATGGGTAGGCTCCCTTTTTACTTATACATTACCTGTTCGTGCATACTTACCCGTTCGTGAACTTCCGCGTTTGTGCGTTTAAACTAGACGAACGCCGGCTATACTTACGTTTTATGGGTCCTTCGTACGGTCTAAACTGCCGACCTTTGTTCGGGTAAACTCTGGTATAATTTCGTTAAATTCTGGTATACCATTAGTTCATACAAACGAACTATATACATATATACTTACCCGTTCGTTCATTTAGCGATTCGTGCAATATTCTCTTCACCCTTCGCATACTTACCCGTTCATGCACTACTTCTATTCGTGCGGAATTAGGCAAATGCACACTATACTTAGCTTCAGTGGGTCCCCCGTGCGGTCTAAACCGCCGACCCCTGTTCATGCAAATATCTGCTTTTCGTTCATACGAACTAAACAATCATTTATTCATAGATACTTCCCGTTCGGTTACTTAACTGTTAGTACTAAATCTGTCAGTATTAGTTAATAAAATCTGTTTATTACTACAACCATTTACTGTTGCCTCTGTGGCTCTTGGTTTAATTATGTTTATATAAATTATGACACTTTATCTCAGAGTTAACCCTCTGTGTTTTAGGTATGTTATACACTTAATAAAATTCTTCCTGACACCCTACTACTTTGGCAGCGTTTTTCAACTCCACGCCAACCCTGTACGCTGTCACAAACTTATATATTTATATATGGCACAATCCTCTGGGGGAATTTTGCAAACCCTACATTTCTTATTTTTCTTTAGCTTTAACATTAATTTTAGCCTCTGTTACATTTCTTTGATCTCCACAGATTGCCTGTTTATCTTGTATGTTTGCATAAAGTTGTCAAATTCAAGTTCTTGTATTTACAATTCAGGTACAGTATTTACTGACTTCTGTTCAATCATGTTAAGGCCTCAGACAGCCTTCACTCTAAACTTGTCACAAACGGAATTTGTTAATTAAAATATAATGTCATAACCATTGCTAATTTTAATAATATGCGATGGCTTTTATCCATAGCTCCAACACTATTCTAGGCCTCCTCCCATTTTCTCCGTAAGAAAACACTTAGGCCCATCCAAGTACCTGTACAACAAATCAAGGTATAGTACTCTACTCATTACAGGGTTTTTTTTATACAAGACCCGACACGGTCTCTATTTATCACAATTATCACACGGTCCTACGTCCTTGTTATGTTAAAATTCTCTACATTTTTCTACTTAGGCCTACGTTCATACTGCCTTCGGGCAAGAACCTACCTAACCTGGACTTGCTACCTTAAGGCCTCAATTAGCCTCCCTCTATAACATAAACTCGTCCCAGTCTAATCATTCAGATCCCTCACCTCAGGATCTCACGTTGCGCACCTATAGCCACCCATTACTACTAAGCATACGCCCCTATGTTACGCTCAAATACATCAACATCTGCCTTACCCTTAGGCTTCTTCTACAATACCAGCAGCGGCCAAGCCACTCTTCTTAAAAACACTTGAAGGTTCAAGTTACCTGTTATAATCACTATCAAGGTTAGTATCCACCCATTACACCATGATGGCCATTTATCCCATAGAAAGCAAATGAACTGGCTTACAGGGTCTAGGCTCCGGCCCTAGCTCACTCAAGTAAATTCCGGTCCCGCTAGGCCATTTCCCTACAGCCCCATGCCCAAATCATAGTTAGATGCCTCGTTCGCCCTTCTACAGGGCTGCAGTCAGTGCCTCACTTTTCACGGCCACACGTTTGAATCTCCTTAACAGTCATCGAGAGGCCAACATCCCGCCACCACGTCTGTGGCAACAAACTTCTCTCGGCCAAATCATAGATAGAGCCTCTCACCGCCACTCGGCACTAGCAGGGCCTCACTTGTCACTAGTTCACAGTTAAGTTTTTCGCTTCGGCACTAGCCTTACAGTCCAGTTCACCTAAGGAACCTCCTCTCATAACCCCCTCTGTCCCCTCCTTTGCCCTACTAAATCTAATTCACCAATTCATTTCTAGAATGTCTCAAGAACCAGCCCCCACCGACGATTTGTCTGCCGAGGAGATCCCGTTCACTCATATCAGACCAGAGTCTCCAGGCGAATCTCTCACCTCCTCTACACCTATGTCCTTGAGAGCATGGACTATTCCAAAAATTACGGCTGAACTTAGGCGAAGGGGCATCCCCTTTCCTGCTATGGCTAGAAAGGCGGAACTATACAGACTCTTGACCAATCAGGCCCCCGAGCCTAGACCAGGCACTAACACTCAAGGACAACCATCAGGCGCTTGCACGGCCACTCAGGACACCCTTGCAGCAATCCTGGAAACCTGCAGACCTTGAATAACAGGTTATCTAGGGTGGAGAGTGCCATCCTCCTCTCAGCCCCCGTCCCGGCAGTCTCTGCTACAACACCACACTCCCTTATACATCCCCCTCCAGCACCTGCCACAGTTACATCACCTTTTGTGTCACCAGCACACTCCGTCCCAGACCCCATTAGGAAAGAAATCCGAGATGGGAAGGATGTGTGTCTGGTGTCACTGCTTATAGCCTCACAAGATGTGCTGGAGAACCGGGCATATAATTATGGGGATATGTCAGTGGTGCTTAAAACCAGAGATCCCAGGCTTAACAAAAAACTATCAATACCACAGTTTGTAATAGCTTTCGGGATATACCGCGACGTCATTTGCTCGGTATATCTCCACAGAAAAGAGGAACTAGACCTCTATGCGCATCATTCCACAGGGTAAGTCTTTCGTATCCAGGCTTCTTAGTCTGCTTCAGGGGGTGCCAGACTCCTGCCCAATTTCTTTGGATCAGCAAGCCAAGGCTGACTTACTCAAGTGGGGGAAGTTTTTGGCTGAGCGGAACGGTATCTCCATGTTTATCCCCCCTCTCTCCAACTCCTCACCCATCATTCACACAGACGCTGCAGCCAACGAGGGTTTCGCAGCTATCTTCGGTAATCACTTGTTCAGGGGTCACTGGCCTACTGAGACAGATGCCTTGCCAGGATTCAGGGAGACTTCAGCCCTATTTGAAATTTATCCCATAGTGGTGGTCGCACACACTTGGGATCATCTCTGGTCCGGCAAGGCAGTAAAATGCTATTCTGACAACTCGGCAGCTTGCGATATCATAAACAAGGGGTGCTCATACTCTCTCACCATCATGCGGCTGATTCGCAAGCTGACCTGGCTGGCAGCAACCATCCAGTTCCACTTAGTCTGTTTTTACATCCTGGGTATCCACAACACAGCCGCTGACGTTCTGTCTCCTTCTGAATTCCAGGCACTCCCTACAGCCAGCCATCCAAGACACCACGGTTTCACGAACTAATCCTGGATTAAACGCACTAATGCACCACGCTAGGTCTCTCACACACCAAGCACTATCACCTAACACAGCTGTCACCTACAGTAGGGCACTTACCATTTTTAATAAATTCACAGCAGATTTCGGATTACAAGGTGATTTTTCTACTCAAACCATGGTGGCTTTTGCCTCATTCTGCCACTTACATTTAAAACTTTCTCACAATACCATTAAACTATACCTCACAGGGGTTCAGCACCACAGCCTCACAAATTTCCCTAACACCCCCTTCTTGTCATCATACCCCATTAAGAAAGTCTTAAAGGGTATCTCAAAGGTTTCTGTTCCACTTACCACTACCAGACTACCAATAGATGGGCCTATCTTTAGATCACTCAGCAACCTACTTGATGAATCCCCATTCGATCCTGACACAAACCTGGTGATCAAGTCTGCCATTTATCTAGCTTTTTATGGTTTCCTTAGACCCGGAGAATTCACTGTTGTTTGTCAAGGGGATATCTCATACAGCCTTAAAACCTCACACCTCACTAAGGTGGAAGATCACTACATAGTCACTCTCCCATCTACCAAAACTAATCACTCACAACACCCCACTATTATTCCCCTCTTTCCCACTGATAATGCTTGGTGTCCGGTTAAGGCACTAGACCATCTACAATCAACTCATCACACGCATTTACCAGACTCTCTGCTCTTATTATTACAAGGGCACCCACTCACCACTGCCAAATTCACAACGCACGTCAGAACCTTACTGGCAAAACTTGGTTACAACCCGGCTTCGTTCTCCAGTCACTCCTTCCGCATAGGAGCCGCTTCATCAGCTTCTAGTACAAACACCTTGGTTCACATCATCAAGAGACTGGGTCGATGGAAATCCTCCATATACCATACGTACATACCATGACCAGAAAGAGAGCTTCGCCAAGCTTTCAGCAATTTGGTTATGTACTAAATGCAGTAAAGTGTATTTTTCTTGAACTTCTCTTTGCCCTCTTATTTACAGGCCCACTCATACATTGGTTTTCGGCACACCTCAAACTAACTTTCATCTCAGACACTATCCATTACGTATTAAATTCCGAGCACAAGTAGAAAGGCCATTAGGCCTGAATTTGTGGGAGGAGTAAGTCCCCTACTTAAACTCCCAGCCCCTACTCACCCTACTTCACCCTTATAGCATTCTCTCCTTGGTGGGCCCTCTTTTATTTACAGGCCCACTCATACGTTGGTTTTCGGCACACCACAAACCAACTTTCATCTCAGACACTATCCATTACGTATTAAATTCCGAGCACAAATATATATATATATATATATATAAAACACAATGATATAAGACAGATAGACTTTATAATTAAATTGATGTAAATTTACACAAAGTATATATCATAACAGAGACTGTTGCAAATTAAGATTATGTAAATTTACACAATTCCTAATTTTTACTTATTCACTTATCCTTTTTTTTAAAAAATGGGGGAATTAAAAGCTTTAGCCAGTACACCTTGTCCTTTATCTTGCAATATTTCACCTAGAGTCTGTAATGTTAGTATAATAGCAAGAATTTTATTTTCTCACTTACAGTGGGTGTGGCAAAAATAGATAAATAAAAATTGTCAAATAGAAGGGCGAGGCCTGACTTCTATGTTAGAGAGAAGTGCATTAAGAGGGTTCCTCACTTATCTTCCAATGTTATTTGGATTAATTGTTTATTGGCATTCTCATTTCAAAATTGGTAAATCTCCAAATTGACTGGTCTTCCTTGGAGCAGTTAATAACCATACTTCTCGCCGTACTAACGGAATCATCTGCTTGACACAGCGTGGCCTAGTCAGCGCATCAGATGGGAGAGTCAGCTGATCTCCCAGCCTGGAGCAACTGTGTTCTGCCCCTTGAGGGTATAGGCTGATCTTGGTTCTGGGACTCTTGCTGACACCTTGTCACTCATGTCTATTTCTCCAACAAGAGTCAATTATGGTTTTCTGCTTCCTTTACTGCTTTCCCTGCTGTATCTTATGACATTATGTCTGCCTCTTATTAATCCTTTGGGCATTTGTTCACTAACAGACCATCACAGGGACCTCCTGGGTGGGTTCTTATTCTGAGTGCTCAATTAAACACGCCTCTTACTATATAATATAAAATATCATGCAGACCGTGGTGATGCAACTCCTATTTGACTGTTTTCTTTCACCTTGCTTATCTCATTCACTATAATTCCTGTGTTGCCCTTTCCTACTTCAGATCTCATAGTTTACATAGATAAGAGGGATATATTATTATTTTTAAATGTGCTCAACATAAGAGAAGAAAAAGTGAGGGAATGTGGTGACATTTTGTCATCAAACTTATATGGTGACCAGGGGTCATGTGACCAAGCTCATATAGGTCTTTCTTACAGGGAGATAAGCTTTACCCTTTGATTTGGTAATTGGGTAATTCAATACCTTTACAGGTCAGGAAAGAAATAGCCACTTCCCCCTATCTCCATCCCTTCCTGTTCCTTCTTGGCTGTGCTAGTAAGCAGACGTGAGCAGATATGGGCTAATTTTTATAATGGTGAACTGTGAGTGGGATCTGGTGACTTTATAAGATTTAGTTGTTATTGTTAGTTAGTTAGTTAGATTGTTGTTGCTGTAGTTGTTGGTATAGTTAGTTAGATTGTGTCATTATTTGTATGTTGTTGTTTTCTCTGAATAAATATTTGTTAAAGTAGACGGACCATAGTATGCGTACACAACAATCTATCTAACTAACAATAACAACTAAATCTTATAAAGTCACCAGATCCCACTCACAGTTCACCATTATAAAAATTAGCCCATGTCTGCTCACGTCAGCTCACTAGCACAGCCAAGAAGGAACAGGAAGGGATGGGTATAGGGGAAGTGGTTATCTCTTTCCTGACTTGTAAAGGTATTGAATTACCCAATTACCATATTATTATTATTATTATTGTTATTTATATAGCGCCATCAAATTCCGCAGCGCTTTACAATGGGTGGACGAACAGACGTAGTTGTAACCAGACAAGTTAGACTCACAGGAACAGAGGGGTTGAGGGCCCTGCTCAATGAGCTTACATGCTAGAGGGAGTGGGGTAAAATGACACAAAAAGATAAGGATAGTATTAGACTAGTGACAGTTGCAAAAGAGGAATCAGTCAGGAGCTATCAATAGTTTAATTGATACGCATTTAACGATTTTTTGAAGGAGTGGAGACTGGGTGAGCATCTAACGGAGGGAAGCGAGTTCCACAGGAACGGTGCAGCCCTCGAGAAATCTTGAAGGCGAGCATCAGAGGTGGGAGTACAGACAGAAAATAGACTTAAGTCTTCAGCAGATCGTAAGGGCCTAGACGGGACATACTTGTGTATTAGGGAGGATAGATAGGTGGGAGCAGCATTATGTAGAGATTTGAAAGCAAGAACCAGAATTTTAAATTGAGCTCTATATTTTATAGGAAGCCAATGTAGGGACTGACAGAAGGGTGATGTATGGGAGGTGCGGGCGGACAGAAAGATGAGCTTTGCTGCCGCATTCATTATGGACTGTAACGGCGCAAGTTGGGAGCACGTAAGACCACTGAGAAGCGGATTACAGTAGTTAAAGCGAGAAAGGACAGTGGAATGGACCAACACCTTAGTCGCATCTGGCGTTGAGTAGGGGCAGATGTGCGCAATGTTTTTGAGATGAAAATGACAGGATTTGGCGATAGATTGAACATGAGGCTTGAAGTAGAGGTCGGAGTCAAAGAGAACACCTAGGCAGTGAGCCTGCGTGGTGGAGCTGATGGTAGCACTGTAGACTTGGAGGGAGACAGACACAGAAGTAACAACACTTGAGGGAAGAAAGACCAGAATTTCAGTTTTGGAAGTGGGCAGCAATCCAGTTAGAAATAGCAGAGAAGCCGTCAGAGACACTAGTCAAGAGGGACTGGGAGAGATCAGGAGAGGACAGGTAGATTTGCGTGTCATCTGCATAGAAATTATATTGGAAGCCAAAGGAGCTAATGAGTTTACCAAGAGAGGCAGTATAGATGGAGAACAGTAGGGGACCAAGGACTGAACTTTGGGGGGCACCAACAGAGAGGAGTTGGGGAGAAGAAGCAGAGCCAGAGAAAGAAACACTGAAAGAGCGCTGGGAGAGGTAGGAGGAGCACCAGGAGAGAGCAATATCTTGTAGAGCGATATTGCGGAGGATGAGAAGAAGCTGTTGATGATCAACAGTGTGAAAAGCTGCAGACAGGTCAAGGAGAATTAGGATAGAGTAGTGACCACAAGAGTTTTCAGCGAGTAGATCATTGGATACTTTGGTCAGTGCCGTTTCCACAGAGTGCTTAGCGCGGAAACCAGACTGAAGTGGGTCTAGCAGAGAGTTGGACTCGAGCAAGTCTGTCAATCTCGCATACACAATTTTTTCAAGGATCTTGGATACAAAAGGCAGTAGTGAGATATCAAAGGGTAAAGCTTATCCCCCTGTTAGAAAGACCTACATGAGCTTGGTCACATGACCCATGGTCACCATATTAGTTTGACAAAATGTCACCACACAGACAACTATTCATCTATACAACGCAGTATTCACTCTTCAGTGTAAATATTTATGCACTTCCACCCAGGGGCGTATTAGCCGCGAGGCAAACAAGGCATTTGCCTTGGGCGGCATTTTTCAGGGGGCGGCAAAAAACGCCGCCCCCCAAATGCCCAGGGCAAATGTCTTGTTAGCCTCGCAGAACAAATACAGGGCCTTTTTCTAATGCTAGAGCTCTTCAGCGGGGCTCTGCGCATTGAACCAACATGCTCACTTTCTCTGGCCCCGCACCCTTTTTGGGGGGCCGCTCTAATTGAAAAATGCCCGGGCCTTATTTTTTTCCCAGTCCGGCCCTGGTGCAGGTGCCTAGTTATGGGTACTTTTGTAATACAAATATGCAAATACTTAACATGCTACTTGTCACTGTCTCAATGCACAAAAAAAAAAAAATGGTCAAATAGCTTGCCTCTAGGTGTTTGTAAAGACCCTGAAGGCATTACTAGCAGTATAGTTTATAGTTGACTAAAAATGTCAACAGAATGTAAAAGGATTGTCTGCATTTGCACATAATGCCCACATACAGTAAATTCAATTAAATCATCAAATTTAAACAAACCAAACACTGACATGACACACTGTAGCCCACAACTATTGATTTTCAAAATAAATCCAAATTCTGGAATGAATTAACTAAATTAGACCTAGGATTATAATTTTCCCTGTGGCTGTCCACAGGACATCTCAAGCCGTGTGTCATTCTGCTGTTAACCGTGTCGCATGACACATTCATTTTGCATCCTTTTATTCTGAAAACACCTGCGCATCATTTTACAGACAAAGCTGTAAAATATTTATATTTTATCTCTATGCATTTTCTGGTATTTGTGTCTTGTTCTTGACCTTGCCTTCTGATATCCATGACTTGACTGGCTTATAGACTCAGTCTACTTCTATACTATTTTGACCTTGAGTTATTTGACAGTTCTCGTTGTCATTTTGTCTTCTCTAGACATAGCATGATCTCTGGCCACTGTAGAGAACTGTAATATGCATCTATCTATTATACTATGTCTCTGGATAGTACTTGTTCAACCTCTGCATGTTTGGTACTTTCGATACCTGGACGGAGATAGGGCTACCTGTTGTCTTGCTTAATGTGTTAAGGGTTTACAAAAACATTTGGGGTCAACAGATTTGAGAAATGTCTTTTTTAATTTGTAAACTGTTAGTATTAAGGAAAATAACTGTGATCTGTATGTCTCTTTTTGTAGGTATACCTTCTTGTTGTTAATCCTTTTTCTTGTTCCTGGGATTGTTATGTCAATAGCCTACGGATTAATATCACTTGAGTTATACAGAGGGATACGGTTTGAAGTCAATCAAAGAAAAGGTATAATTTGGCTGTAAAACTGAAAATTTCATTGAAATCATTTGATTAAACTTTAAGTGTCATTAACCCAATCATATAAGATAATAAAAAAAGAAAATATAAAGTGTAATGTGGATAAAATTAAATTGGTTTGTATTGAGTGACTATATATAAACAACTGAATCAATTTTACTTGTGCTACTAGGTTTTTGGCATAATTACATGAAACAAATTAAATCAGCACTCAGACTCAATATAAAATGTTTGAATATAGTGTAGCTCTTACCATGGCTTCTATGTTCACAAATTCCAAGAACCGGCAAATAAGTTCACTGAAAGAAATATTGTAAGGTACGATTGCTTCCTTTTTAAAAATATATTATATGAATAATGCATTAAAAATATGAAAAATAAACAAAATACAAAAATACATCTTGTTCTGTGTCTACAAATACAGTGTAGTTGGATAAAGTTGTGGTCCAGGCACTCAAGGATCAGTTTAAACAGCAGATTTGTTTGGAAAATTGCAACGTTTCGATCTCTAGGAGATCTTTCTCAAAATACAAATTGTCTCTGAGCTGCAGTTCCACTCACCCTTAATGGAGATGCTATCAGCTTATTCACAGCGGACTTTGTAATTTTTTTCGTATAGATGTAATCTATGCCAGGCATAGGCAACCTTCGGCACTCCAGATGTTTTGGACTACACCTCCCATAATGCTTTGTCAGCATTATGTGTGTAAGAGCATTATGGGGAATGTAGTCCGCAACATCTGGAGTGCAGAAGGTTGCCAATCCCTGATCTATGCTCTTCAAAAATATTGCCAATCAAACGTGATGAATATCAATATGTTATTTGCATTTAATTAATTCAAATAGCTGCATTCCATTTAATATGTGCAACTAAGTACTTAACTACCAGGTCTTAACAATCCTAACCAAATAAGTGACTTTATTTACACCTTATTTAATACACCCCACTGAATAGATACAATATTCAATCCCATGCCAATAGTTATTTACCAGTAGAACTCTGCAGAATCCCGTTGATTCAGCTTGGTTAATCTTGTAGCTGCTAAGTTGAAAAAAGAAGCTGATGTTTCAGATGAAAGACATGGTTATCAATCTAACTAGTATTTGGACATTAAATTATAAAATATTGGCAGCACGGTGTTGATGTTGAGGCATGGTCAGTCTATAGTATCAGAGCCGGTACAAGGATTTCTGCCACCCTAGGCAAACATCCATTTTGTCGCCCCCTCATTAAAGCAAATACAATCTCACAGAGGTTTATTCACTAAACTCCGAATTGCAGTGAGTTGAAAAACAAAGTTTTCAAGTTGAAGCAAAAACAGCTGATCTGTGACTGTAGCCGAATTGGAGAATTCTTCTAGATCAGCTATATTGGCCTAAATTTTGCCATATGGTTTTCAGTTAGGTCTGCCTAATATACACTAATATATACTGCATAATAACTACATCCATAAACACATACTGCCTAATACCTACATCCATACTGCCTAATACCTACATCAATACATACATACTGCCTAATACCTACATCCATACTGCCTAATACCTACATCCATGTACACATACTGCCCAATACCTACATCCATACTGCCTAATACCTACATCCATACACACATACTGTCTAATACCTACATCCATAAACACATACTGCCTAATACCTACATCCATACACACATACTGCCCAATACCTACATCCATAAACACATACTGCCTAATACCTACATCCATACACACATAATGTCTAATACCTACATCCATACACACACACTGCCTAATACCTACATCCATACACACATACTGCCCAATACCTACATCCATACTGCCTAATACCTACATCCATACACACATACTGCCTAATACCTACATCCATACACACATACTGCCCAATACCTACATCCATACACACATACTGCCCAATACCTACATCCATACTGCCCAATACCTACATCCATACTGCCTAATACCTACATCCATACACACATACTGTCTAATACCTACATCCATACTGCCTAATACCTACATCCATACTGCCTAATACCTACATCCATGCACACATACTGCCCAATACCTACATCCATACTGCCTAATACCTACATCCATACACATACTGTCTAATACCTACATCCATAAACACATACTGCCTAATACCTACATCCATACACACATACTGTCTAATACCTACATCCATAAACACATACTGCCTAATACCTACATCCATACTGCCTAATACCTACATCCATACATACATACTGCCTAATACCTACATCCATACTGCCTAATACCTACATCCATACTGCCTAATACCTACATCCATGCACACATACTGCCCAATACCTACATCCATACTGCCTAATACCTACATCCATACACACATACTGTCTAATACCTACATCCATAAACACATACTGCCTAATACCTACATCCATACACACATACTGTCTAATACCTACATCCATACACACACACTGCCTAATACCTACATCCATACACACATACTGCCCTATACCTACATCCATACTGCCCAATACCTACATCCATACTGCCTAATACCTACATCCATACACACATACTGCCTAATACCTACATCCATACACACATACTGCCCAATACCTACATCCATACTGCCTAATACCTACATCCATACACACATACTGCCCAATACCTACATCCATACTGCCTAATACCTACATCCATACACACATACTGTCTAATACCTACATCCATAAACACACACTGCCTAATACCTACATCCATACACACATACTGCCCAATACCTACATCCATACTGCCTAATACCTACATCCATACTGCCTAATACCTACATCCATACTGCCTAATACCTACATCCATACTGCCTAATACCTACATCCATACACACTGTCTAATACCTACATCCACACACACACACTGCCTAATACATCCATCCATACACACATACTACCTAATACCTACATCCATACACACACCCTGTCTAATACCTACATCCATACTGCCTAATACCTACATCCATACACACACTGTCTAATACCTACATCCAAACACACACTGCCTAATACCTACATCCATACACACACCCTGTCTAATACCTACATCCATACATACATACTGCCTAATACCTACATCCATAAACAAACACTGCCTAATACCTACATCCATACACACACCCTGTCTAATACAGCATCCATAAACAAATACTGCTTAATGTGTACATCCACACACACACACTGCCTAATACCTACATCCATACACACATACTGCATAATACATGCATCCATATATACATACTGCTTAATACATGCATCCATACACACATACTGCCTAATACATGCATCCATACACACATACTGCTTAATGCGTATATTCATACACACATACTGCTTAATGCGTATATTCATACACACATACTGCTTAATGCGTATATTCATACACACATACTGCTTAATGCGTACATCCATACACACATACTGCCCAATATATGCATCCATACACACAGACTGCCTAATACATACATCCATATATACATACTGCCTAAGACATTCATCCATATACAGATATTGCCTAATACATACATTGTACATTGAATACATAATTTATCACCGTGATAACTTATGTATTCAATGCATTTGGTGAATTTCATTTATAATAAGACTAGCACAGACGAGCACACATATGGACAGACGAGCACATACACATACTGACTGACAGCACACACACACACATACTCAGTCACTGACAGACCCCAACACTCACTGACAGACACACACAGTCACTGACAAATACAAACACTCAGACACACACACACTCTCACTGACAGTCAAACACTCGCACACTCATTGACACTTACACTTACGCAATTTTATTTTTTGAGGCCTCTCCAGCCTCGCTACCTCCCTGGTGTCCAGTGTAAGGGCCACTCTTCCTGCCCGCTGTTTAGTATGCTGGGGCTCGAATGACATCATATTCCAGCTCCCGGCATCACAGAGGGATCATGAAGGAGGATTGAGAAGCTGCAAGAACAGCCTCCCACACTTGCCACTCTGCTGGCATTAATCGGCAGAGCAGGCACCTGCCATGCGGGCAAGCAGGTGTCTGCTCTGCCACTCCTTAACCCCTTAAGGACCAAACTTCTGGAATAAAAAGGAATCATGACATGTCACACGTCATGTGTCCTTAAGGGGTTAAAAGCACCGTATCAGCGGCACCCTAAGGTGACCAGATGGCCACCTCTTGGGCCCCCTGTGACAGGGCTCCTCTCTGTGCCCCCACCTTCGGGTGCATGGAGGATTGACCCGGCAGTGGGCAAGGGGTGGCTCAAGAGCTGCTCGCCCACCGCTGAAGCCCAAGACCGCAGCAGTCCACCAGGAAACATCCCGGTTGGCACCCCCAGCAGACCAGTGCCCTAGGCGAATGCCTAATTCACCTAACGGTTGCACCAGTCCTGTATAGCATATATCAGGAACCAATGAAAAGAGGTAGTAGATATCCAAACTGATTAATGTAAAATTATTCAACGGTTTATTGTCATTATTATTTTTTAATGTTGTGTTTTCATACTTTTTTTTGCATTTGCCACAACAGAACGGGCCAACAGCACAAGCAGTAATCAGTTTGAAAATGGAGATGGTTGCTACTTACAGAAGACAAAAAGAAAAATGAAACTGGAAATGCAGCAGCTCTCCACCCACAGCCGAGCTAAGATTGAAAGAGTTCGGAGCAACAGCTCAGCGGCCAACTTGATGGCAAAAAAACGAGTGATCAGAATGCTTATTGTCATCGTCATCTTGTTTTTTATCTGCTGGACCCCAATATTCAGTGCCAATGCCTGGAGGGCATTCGACACAACTTCAGCAGACATCATCCTCTCCGGTGCACCTATATCTTTTATTCATTTGCTCTCGTACACTTCGGCCTGCGTGAACCCAATCATCTACTGTTTCATGAACAAGCGTTTTCGCTTGGGTTTCCTGGCTACGTTTGCTTGTTGCCCTAGACGAGGGGTGGAAAGCCGAGGAATGGGACAAGGGATTGCAGAAGATGAGGGTAGGACCACAGGTGCTTCACTTTCAAAGTACACGTACACCAACATCAGTATATCTGGTACATCGCCTGCCCCTACATGAATAAAACTGCTGGATTTTCATTGGAAAATAAAGGACCGACCATATATGTACACAACCATATGTTTTGTGAGATGGTGAGATGGATTGTCTTGAATGAAAATGTTTTTTGTTTTTTTCCTCTCTCATCAATTAAGCCTGGATAAACATAACGGAATAAAATGGTATATAGTACCACCAGGATTGCTGCTACTGTGTTGCTCTTTTTGCCAAATAATCGAGAGCAGTTTGATATATTAATTGCTTGATGACAATTCTATCCTCAAATAGCTGCATACACTCATTGATAACATGAACAACATACTTCATAAACAAGCCGTGTCATTGGTGAAGAAACAATAAGTCACTTGATACAAGGATTGTGCTTATATTTATAGTCTGGCATCTGGCTGCATGGGATCATAGACTAAACACAAGCTGGGGCAATACGGACTAAAGTGTAACATTATAAGGGTTTATTTTTAAAGGGAAATTATTATAAAAATGTCTTTATCTTGTTTTCTTTTATTACTAAAACAAATTATGTTTATTTACATTTTATTCACTTAACTTGGATTTATGGAAAATTGACAAAGATGATTAATGAATATAAATGCAAGTTTAGACCAAAATATCCATACTGGAAAAATAGTTGAATAATTTTTTTTTCCCCAGTTGGGTCATTTTGATCAGTAAGTACAATTTAATTGACATTTCACCACAATTTCCAGTTTAATTTATCAGCTTCAAACCAAGCATGGATAACTTAAATTTAAAGTCAAGGTCAACTCAGTCTTCCAAGGTCAATAAGATGAGTACCATTGAGCTGGGGAATAAACTCTAGACCCCAGGGCATACTTGGAAACTATCACAAAGCTAAATGTACCTCTCCTGGCTAAATACTTTAATATTCTTCTTAGACATTACTTGTAGCTTATTGGAACACATTTATAAATAAAACAAATAAATAAAAGTATTCCCAAAATACTTTTCCTGTTGCTTTTGACAATATAGATAACAAAATGAATTTAATGAACAGTAGGGTTAGGAAGAGAAGAGACTTAAAAAATAAGTTAAATGGAGACTCATTTTATGATTATCACGGTAATAAACATGCCATATTGAGAAACACAATGATACAATACACTGTATAGATCTGTGTTAAAATATGTCGCAATGTATAGCTGGTAATAGATTCCCTTTAAATTAGTGATTTTGATACAAAACATTCTGTAATGGATATCCGTATGGTTCATTATGTTACCTGTGTGATTGCATAAACTATGTATTTTTTATATATCTCTTCAGTGTTCAGTTCAATTTGTTAAGTGGAACTCGCTGATGGAAATAAAATTCTAATTTTAAATACTGTTTTTCCTTGTTAAAGACATTGATTAACATTTGGACATCAGGGAACTTAAGCAACGAGTAGTTATTGTTCAGTTTAGTTGACCAGTAGATTCTTTATAATTAACTTCTTCAGTTCCAAGCACTTTTTGTTTGAAAAACATAAACACATAGATTGCTTTTCAGAAAAACTGAAACATTCAAATTATGTAAATATCCAGATTTTTCTTTTTTAATTTATTCAATCATCCTTTATAGTCATTTTGAGGAATTGAAAGCTTTAGACAGTATGTAGTATCCCTTTATTTCACACAGGGTCTGAAAGTTGGTAAATGCAAAAATAAATGTTTCTCATATACAACCAGTGTGTCAAAATATGTAAATTAATATGGTCAAATGCCCTGCTTGTAGGTATTTGTAAGAACCCTGACTTATTTCTATCATTTCAACTTACTAAAAATGGCAACAGAATGAAAAAATATCTAATACATTTCTGATGTAACAGCATTTAAAAAAGTTAATAGCATTCTTTATTATTTCTGGAATGCTAATGTTATGCTCATGGTGCCTAGAAGAGTATCGGCTATACCTCACTAATGATCCCTAACAAGGTTAAAACGGTTGTCTCGGATTGCTGTATCTCTCATGCAGAAGGAGCCGGCCTGCATTTTTATCTGGATCGCCCTTTTTGGGTGGGAACAGTCTGATATGCAAACTGAATAGTTTGTGGTGGTTCAGCACTTAAGTTGTATTGGTTGGATCAGAGTAGACAGGATCCAGAGTGTCTCATTTATATGTGCACACACAAATTATAGGAGCTCTTTAAAGATCCACTTCTATGAGCGTGAGCAGTACAATCCCTGCTGATGGATTCTTGTAGCTTCCCTCAGTATCAGACAATAATCCGGAATACATGAAAGATATGAAACATACAGATAGACTAATCTAGTGTAGTATATCTGAATGACGTAATTAAAATAATGAAATAGAAATGCACTCACATGTAGTGGAGCCTGTATATTGGCTCTTCCAAGTGAAAGAAAGACACATTTAGTGAAATGAGTTAGTGTTACTTTTTATCTTTTTTTTTATTTTTATTTTTAGCTAATTGTGTGTCAGAATAAAGTTTACATATTTAAAACACTCTGGACCATACTACTTTTATCTATTATCACTTGGATGTTAATTTAATTGGTGGGGAATTTCTTTCCTTTTTAGCACAAAGTAGGAGGCCTAATTGACAAGTGCATCAGGACTGTAGCATTAGGAATGCAGATATGTGTTCCTAACACTACAGTGCTTCTTTAAGTACTCTGTTGTATCTCTTCAGTAAAGATTGTCTCTGATGGCACTGACAAACTAGACTCTGCTGATATCTCCTTTAGCTGTCTCTTGGGGATTCTGGAAGGACTAGTGTTTGTTGTACCAACTAGTAGACCCAATCCACACTTTCATTGTTTTCTACACTAAAGGACGGTCACTAACACTACAGACTGGTTAAACTTAAAATGACTCCTGTTGCAGCTGTTCCACATTATTAATTACCGGTATTCATAGATTGCAAAAAGAAAAAATATTCAGTCATCATTATAAAACTAAGTTCCCTCACTTACATTTTCTTAATAGAGATATTTCTGATAAACTTACAATTAAGAATTGGCATTGCATAAATGGCTGATTTTATAGTCGTTTTAACATTGTACTTCTCTTTTAAGAAAAAAGGCAAATAAGAATAAAGTTTGAAAAACAACTTTCTTGTTAAAACATTCATTAAATGCAGCTATAATAGATATGCTTGAGAAGCATCAGTGTTTAAGATCCCTCGTGATCATAGTCATTTTTATTAGCAGGGTGTGATAAATTAACACCCAAATATTTTAAGGTTGAAGACGACAAATGAAAATGGGAACATATTTTTGAGAAAACTAAACTGATTGGGTAGAAAAGAGAGATTAAATATAAGAGATTTGTAGAAATCAATTTATAAGTTATATTGAATACAGTGGCGTACACAAGATCCATGGGACCAGCCATCCACCCCTCCCCCCCCGCCCCCCGCGCACTTACTCTTCGCGGGCCGGAGCTGCTACATATGGTGGTGGGCACCTGGTTGCAGAACTGCGACCGTGGTGTGCCGCCAGTGCATGTCGATACACTTAAAGGACCAATACAGGCACTCAGATCACTTCAGCTCAATGAAGTGGTCTGGGTGCCAGGTCCCTCTAGTTTTCACCCTGCAGAGAAACTGTTTCACTGAGGGTTAATCCAGCCACTAGTAGCTGTCTCACTGACAGCCGCTAGAGGCGATTCCGCTGGATGTCCATAGGAAAGCACTGAGTAATGCTTTCCTATGGGCGGTTTGAATGCGCGCATGCGCATTCGGAGCTGAGAGGCAGATCGGGGCGGAGAGATCCCCAGTGCCAAGGGGGCCCGGCACTGGAAAAAGGTAAGTGCTGAAGGGGTTTTAACTACACACATACACACTAGCTAACAGACACACACATTTACTGACAGACACACACTCAGTGACAGACACACATACACACTCACAAAACACACTCTCACTGACAAACACACACTCACTAACACACTCACTAACAGACACTGACACTCACTCGAAGACACACACTCAATAACAGACACACAAACACACACAGTAACACTAACACACTTACTGACGCTCACTAGCAGACACACACAAACTAACACACTCATTAACAAACACACACACACTAACACACATACACACTCACATATTTTATTTTATTTGATCCCCCAGCCTCCCTACCTTTGGGGATTCCTGCTGTCCCTGGGGTCCAGTGGGGTCCTGCTCTCCCTGGGGTCCAGTGGGGTCCTGCTGTCCCTGGTATGTACGCCACTGATTGAATATATAGTAAATTGTTTATATTCTGATAAAATATTTCAAATGGACCATAGGGGTTCAGTACAAATAAAAATAAACACAATAAATAAATTTAAAAAAAATCATCTGGGAAGGCAGCTAGTTTACGATGAACTGTTGGTGTTGTTTTTCCCTTTACGAGAGGGTTAGAGTGAATTGCATAAGCAAATCGTTATAAACTCAGCCCTGTTGTGTAATTTAACCTATTTTGTTTTTAATTATTATTTGTAGTATTATAAAAAAAGAATAAACCAACCTGAAAACAAAAACTGTGGTTTATCCACTTTACTGAGAATATTGATGTTTATAATAGAATTGGACGTCTAATACCAAAATGGAAACTTTTGTCATCTTGGCTAATTTTCTAGACCTGCTATCTAAGTCTAGACATGTATATCAATTCTTCAGAATGGTAGTATTAAATAAACCGCAGTATAAAGAGGATTATATATACTGTACACATCAACAAAAAAAAAACAAGAAGAGTAAATACAGGGGAAAAAAATTGTCACTAATGTTTTTCAAGCAAGCTTTGTCATGCCAGTGCAATGATAGCAGAGGCTCCCTACCAAACAATACCTGAAATAAAACTGTGAATAATCAGCGCCGTTCTACTAGAAACTTAGCTATTCAGTACATGTATCATTCAGGATTAAATAAGCAAATTCTGGGGTGTAAAATTTTCATGAGCGTGATGTACAAACAATCCCTTCTGTTTCAGCTGTCATTGCACTGCGCGTGCATTGTGATATGAAAGGTCTCGTCTTTTACTGGGAATGAATTTGAGTAGGAGTAATTTCCTATATAATTCCAGCTCATTTGGCTTGTTAGAGAAATTAGACTGTCCCCGGTATTTCAGCTTTCGCAATGCAGGTCTTGCGCATTATATACTGTAGTGTGCTTACAGCAAACATAGATTTTTAAATGAAATCCCTTCCTTTCATTTACTATTTTATTTAATTTTCCCTATATTGAGTACTGTGAAAGCGAATTTTGGATTTCTACAACAGCTGGAGTTATTTTGCCGCTACATCTACCTGCTGTTGATGCAGCTGAAATACTCACACATTGAGTGCATCAATAAAAATTTTAATAAATGTTGTGGACATAAAGCATTTGGATCACGTTGAAGCACAAAAAAAAAATGTATAAAGAAAATGTATACAAAAAAAAGGACATAAAAACATCATTTGTAAATTATGTCAAATATAGATAAATAAAATAGTACCAAAAACTAACTAGTAAGTCTACCAATCTTTATTTCTACGAATAGGAATTTTGCAAAGTGGACAAATTCTAAATAATATCCAACACATTGTCTATTTTACATATCTTCGCCTTGCATATAAACAATCTCTTATATCCTTGATTTACTGTTCCTGATTTACAACGACTAAGGCCTTGACTTAGCCCCTTAAGGACTGAGGCAGTTGTACAAGTTGTGATCAAAACAAAACGTAAACAAAACTTTGAATTTGCGCTATATGTCTGTTCAGGTAGTTCACCTTTTTCATATTATGTGCACCCACACTTATAAATAATTTTGTTCAGAAGAAACAGGGCTTTCATGTCACATCAAATATTTGTATATAAACATAATTTAATATGATAAAATATAAAAAATTGAGAAATTAAGAAATGTTATTCTTTTAGTTCTGCGTGGCATTTTAACTGTGAATTTCACAATACTGGTAGCAGTTACTGCAATAAAGTACACACATTTGTATTCAGCGATGTCTCATGAGTAAAACAGTAGCCCCAATGTACAGATTTTATGGTATTTTGGAAAGTTACAGGATCAAATATAGCACATTACATTTTTCAGTTTATACAGTTTTTTTTAGTAGCCACATAGTCACAAACGCTGGCCAAGTTAGCGTTCATATTTGTTGTGTGTGAAAAATGCAAAAAACTAAATTGAAGTCTAATTTTGGCCAGTGTTTGTGACTAAGTGGCTACTAAAAAAGACTGGACATACTCCATTTGCAATACCTTGTGTTGTCTACTTTTGCAAATTGTATGCCATCATGGGGGTAATTCTCATTCCTGGGCTACCATACAGTCTCAAAGGCAACATAACTAGAGTTGAGCGAACCTGGACTGTAAAATTCGGGTTCGTACCGAACATTACGTTTTTTGGACTCCGGACCCGAACACGGACATATCACTGTATATTCGGGTTGGAGTTCGGTGTTCGGCGATTTAATGACGTGTTTTGAAAGGCTGCAGGGCAGTCAAT